ATGTGGTTGCATGTCACGTGGTCGCCATGACATACTAATTATTATAATCTATATAAGACTTAAAGTAGTAAATATACTATATTATTTTACTTATTAAAACTAGTTAGTTAATATATATAGATCTTCTAATTCTTAATTATTATATTAAGATAGGTAGTTATTATATTAAATTATACTTATTTTAAATTAAAATAAATAATTATATTTAAAAATAGCTTTATTAAAGTATTTACTACTACTAGGAAGTAAACTTAGTTAAAGTTTATACTTAATTTTTAAAAATTTCTATATATAATCTATCTTATATAGAATTATAATATATTATTATTTATATTTAATTTTAAGTTATATATTTATTTTCCTAGTAAAACCTTTATATTCTTTAATAATAGTATAAATTTATAAGTCTAAATAGCTTTAAGCTTGCTAATTTAACTTTATATTACTTATATCTAGTAATCCTTTTATAGTAACTTTATTACTTAAGTATAGATTTATAAGATTCTAATTTTATAAGTCTTTATAGGCTTAATCTCTAGTATAAAATTACTAGAATCTAGTAATATTATAGTAATTATATTAAGTAATTCTTCTAGCTTTAGATAGGATTCTAGTAGATAAGGTATTTTTAGAAGCATTTTTAGAGATAATATAGACTAGAATTAAGATTATTATTCCTATTTTACTTCCTCTTCTTATAGTTACTTTACCTACTTATCTTTAAAGTAAATACTTTAATATTAACTCTTTATAAATCTTAAAGATCTCTATAGAGTAGTAATACTATTACTAGTATTATTACTAGTAAGATTTTATATCTTTACTAGATTAATTATTTCTATATTCCTAATATTAAATTTAACCTACTTTCTAGTCTTTAAATACTTCCTTTTTAATATATTTAGAGTTATTAGAGTATAGTTATCTTTAAAAGATTCTAAAATTAGTAAGATCTCCCTATATTAGGTAAATAACTTTAGAAGCCTTTATATTAGTTATAATACTAGTATTCTTTTAAAAATAGGTTAACTAGTATATAGATTATTTATAGTAAAATAATTAATTATTTCTTTATATTTACCCTACCTAGATTATTCCTCTATACTAGGTCTTACTATCTCCTCCACATCCTTACTAATTACTTAATTATTTTACTTGGTAATAGTTTTAGAAATAGCCCTAGAGGCAGGCCCAGAGGCAGGTATCTGCTCTAGTATGATAAGCTTAGTAGTTTTAGAGATAGCCCTAGGGGCAGCCCTAGAGACAGGTGGCTACTTAAGTATGATAAGTTTAATACCTGCCTCTAGATCAGGTAGGGTTAGTTTAGGTAGAGCTAGATTAGGTGTTAATATTTAAATTCTTCCTATAATAATCTTATTATTATTTACTAATAGTAAGGTTTAGGAAATAGTATTATTTTAAAATATACTATTATAGGTTATTCTTCCTCTTTTAGTATTAATAGATATAGTTACTCTAGATAGACTATTATTATTTAGTTTTAGTTTATTAGGAAGTTATAGTTATATTTTATTTATTCTATTAATATTATCTTTATTAAATATTACATCCCTTAATTAAATTATCTTCCCTATATCTAGATACTATACCTTGTAGATATAATCTCTATTATATCTAACTAGTTAACTAATTTTTACTCTAGGTAATATTTTTATACTTTTAATCCTATCTTTATATAGGATATTTATAAATATCTTATATCCTTATATATAAATATATTATAAATTAATATCTTTAATTAGAATATTTAATCCTTTATAAAAAAGTTATATAAATAGCTTTCCTTTATTATTACCTTCCCTAATTAACCTATTTAAAATATAGACTACTATATCTATACTATATAGCTATATAGTTAACTCTATTTTTACTTATATATATATTATACAGGTAGTCTAGATTATATAGCTACTAAACTATTTAATAGCATTATTTTCCTTGGGGGTTCATGGTAGTATTAGTTTATATATAGTGCCAAAATCTTTACTCTACCTAGTATACTTATTAAATTTAGAAGTAGAGTTAAATCTAACCCTTCTAATATAGATACTAGTTATATTTAACTAATTATTATATATTTCCTTTAATACCTTTAAAGATTTACTTTTTGTCTTTAAATATTATATAAAAAGGTATCTAGAATAATTATCTAGAACTAGTAGGATATATCTAATACTATCTCTTCTAATTAGTTTAATTTCTTAGAGATCTATATATATAAATTATAATAGTTTTATTACATATAATTATAGTTTTTAGGATATTTTTTTCTTTAATTTTAATAATTAATATATTTTATAGTATAGCTTAGTATTCTAATTAGTAGCAGGCAAGTTATTAATAGCTAAGTTATTATTATAAAGTATTACTTTATTATATTTTAATTATTTAATAAATAAATAACCTAATTATTAATATAATAAGTCTATTAGTATGGTGGGCATGACTACTACCTTATTTAGAATTAAAAATAAGATATTATTATCTAAGATAGTATATCTAATTATCTTATCTATTACTATCTTATAAATGCATTAATTTTTTAAGTTAAAATAGATTCCTAATTCTATCTTTATTCTTTCTACTAGTATTAGGTTATATAGTATATTTAGATTCTAAAGATATTTTATTTAGTATAATATTAAAGTACTATTATTTAATTTAAATTAAATTATTATTTTTCTATAACCTTAAGAATATACTACTTTATTATTAAAGGTAATAAAACTATAATTCTTGAAGCTATTTAGGTCTTTAATTAGGTTATTAAAGAGATTATAATTATTATATACTATATAGCCTGCTCTAGAGTTATATAGCTACTTATTCCTAAAAATAGTTAATATTAAAGCTATTAATATATTAACTCTAGATAGTATAAAATTATTAATATCTAGAATAATATTAGTTTATATAGTTAGAGTAATAACTTAATTTTAAATTAAATTATTTCTATTCTTTAATTTATATAACTTAAAGTACTAAAATATTAAAATTAATCTTTACTCTTCCTTCTACTTATTAATTACTAAATATAAGTAGTCCTTAATATTATATTTTTCCTCCTTATAAAATAGGTATAGTATTCTAGGTTTCCTAGATTACTTTAATTAATAATTAATATAGTTAGTAATTATTATATTCTATAGTAATATATATTTCTACTATTACTATTATTTTTTTCTATTATTTATTATTAATTAAGAATTTAGTATATTTATAGCTAGTATTATAATATTAAATATAATATTAAATAATAAATTTTTTTAAATTTTATTCTTTATTATATTATATATAGCATAAAAATACTTTTATATAGTTATTTTAATAGAATTATTATTTAGATTATTTAAGATTAAATTTATAAAGTTTATATTATTTCTTTTAAGTTTCTAAAATATTATAGTAACTACTTAATAAGATATAATAATTATTTTTAACTTATTAAAAGTATTTATTTTCTAGATAAAATCTAATATAAACTTATTAATAATTATATAATTTTTATATTTAATCTTAATAATTTCTCTTTATATCTAGTATATATATCTTTAATTATTACTAATAATTATTTTTTATAATTTCTATATAAAATTATCTATAAAAATATATAAAATAATATTTATTAATAATTTTTTTACTAGTTTCTTACTTATTAAATATAATATTTAACTAGTTACTATTTATAAAAGAAGTTTCTATAATTTATATTTAAAATTATTAAATTATAGTCTAGAAATATTACTTTTAAGAAGTTTATCTATCTTATAAAGCTTTAACTTTATTTATATAAATAAAGTCTAAATTTTAAATTTTAAATTATTTTCTAATACTATTATTAGGCTTAAGTTAAATATACTATTCTTTAGCTTTATTACTTGATTTTAGCTATTAGTAAACAGGGTAGTAGCTATTAAAGGTAGGTATAATAAGTTAGGGATATTAAGATATCTACTAGGGGTAGGTTTAATTATTATTTTAATTAAATTATAAAGATTTTCCACATACTATTACCTAGGTAGTATAATATAATAGTAGTAGGTAATATTTTTATTAGGATCTCTATCTAATTAGGGAGTAGATCTCTAGTATAGGGGTATAATAAGAGTTTTAGAGGTCTATAAAGTATAAAATAGAACCTTAAGGAGGGCTTATAACCTAATAAGAGGTTGTTAAATTATAATAGTAGAAAGTTAACTGAAATAGATTTAATTAGTCTAATTAAGAAATAAAGAGATGCTTGGAGGAAGTATAGAGATCTAGAAGGAAATAATAGCCTTAAATATATAGAGTAGTCACGTGTCACTATCTTCTTTTTTATAGTGATGCTGCTTTATAGTGGTGCTGGTTGTATTCACTGAGTGCAGCACTCCAACATATATACATACATATATATATATATATGTGTGTGTGCGTTTCTTCCCATGTAAACAGCAGAACACTCGCAATTCTTAAGTACAGACATTGCCTCTATTTGAAACATCAAGGCTATCTTTGGTTATATTATTAGTCTATATTGTTAATTTAGGGTGCAAGACACATGCCGCTTCTTTATACATCCAGTCCCGCAGGTGCAAAGATGGCAGATATTGCTCCCATGATCCCTCATCAACAATATATCAGCATGCATTACTCTAACTGTATCCTAGAATATGGCCCATTTCTATATCATTCAACCTCGGCCTTGTATCTGTCTATTGAGTCAATAGTTAGTTAGTTAACTAACTACTCCGTAACTAACTAACTAACTAACTAACTAACTAGTTAACTAGTTATAGGGACGCCGCTTATTAATTTACAACACACTTTAGGGATAGCTTCCTTTTGACAGACTTGCCACTAAAAACCTTCTCTCTAGTCCCAGGGTGGCAGCGTCAAGAACATGAAGTCCCGCACTGATAAGCGGTGTTTCCTAAGAGTGCGAGAGAGACACGGTCATAACTGGAGATTTGAGGAAAACCCTTCCAACAATACCGAATATGGCCCATCCTTTGGGTCATTCTGGGGATGGTGACACGTCTGTCAATGCCCCCCCGTCGTACAATGACACAATAAGCAGTGTCGGCGTGTCACATCCTCCGCCTCACACAAATGCGGTCATTGAAGCTGGCAATATCCGGGCCCGAGATGAGGTATAATGCGCTCAAAATTCGCTGTCCACATCTGACGTTTCTCATTCCTTTTTTGGCCTGTAGCAAGCGATGCAGAACATGCTCCAAGAAGTCCAACTAAAAAGCGGCATTTACAACAACGATATCGAACCAGAACATGATTCAGACTTCCCTTGTAATTGTATCATACACCGATACAGGAACAGGAAACTGAATCGCCTGGGGGTCCAGGAAATGTGGTCAAGGGCGGTCATGTATCCAGGTCAGAACCATCTCCAACGACGTGTGAGCCAGTCAGTCGCCTATTCCACTTACACCAATTTGGATCCGGTGCAGGAGAAAGGTTCTACCACGATTGCTATGAAAGGATTCTTTTTACAAATAACCCCTATATCAGGGTTGTGTCACCCTATGGGCCTAATGGGGCCACCTTCGGCGGAGTAACAGGACCTCAAGCGGATTACTATACCTTATCAGTGCAGCAGACAATCCAGATAAATGCATCTCTTAATACACAGGCACAGGCATCTGTCGACGCAAAAGAGCCCCCATCTGACATATGGAAAATGAACGATGAGCCCTCTGTCTCCTCTAGAATAGGTGGCAGTGAAGAAGATCGAATCGCCAAGTCCCCACCAAATAGCACCTCCGAGTCAAGCAAACAGTCTAGGTTTGGAGGGTTGAAAAAAGCTCTTAAAATCAAGTCATCTGAGGAGAAATGGTATGCTAAGGGCCGCGAGTTACGAAACGAAATCATCAAGGAGGAGGCTGGTAGATGGCCAAATCAGCAGTGGCGACAAATCGTAGCCGCCTACCAAGACAAAGTCGGAATGACCCAGAAGATCGCGAGTCTCCGGGTCCATCAACCTCTTCAGTACCTTCATCTACTCCGGGCGGGTTATTTTGAACCTATCCCGATCGCCTGGGCCAGTCTCGCTTCCAATCCCCTCAAGTTTCTTATCGATGCGCCTTCTGGATGGAGAGGAATCACCCCGTCCTGGAGAGGATTTGAAGACACAGCAGAGGAACGGCTTTACTGGGTCTTGAATCACAGAGAAGGGAGCACCGGGGTGCGAATGAAGCCGGACTTTATCTCCGCCATGGAAATGGCCCAGGCAAGGATGGCCTCTGCCATTGAACCACCTCCGGCATACTTCTCAGCCACCGATACCTGCCATGTTCAGCATACCTCTGAGGGCTACTCCAGGCAGGTCATGCCTGCCCCGTTCACGGTCCTCAAGGAATCAAAATATCATACAGATGATACTATGATTCTCTTGGACGTCTCCGGATCCATGAGTATTGACCCTATTCGACCAAATTATAAGCAATATCTGATTACCGGTTATTCCAAGGCCACTCAACCAAAGAATAAAGGTAAAGGCAGCACGAATACATAGCCGCCTATATGATACACTAACCCTTTTTTTTTTTTTTTTTCATGGGCTGTAGATGTCGCCAAGGCTATTATCCGCCGCTTTACTGATGCACTCATAAACCACGATCATAATTCGGATGGCTACCAACTTGTTACTTTCTCGTCCCAATCGGATTATATTGGTCTTATCAACCACGACAATTTCGATGCAATGTGGAAGAACATTGCCTTTGGGGGGCAGACCCGAGTCATGTCCGGATGGCAGAAAGTCAAGGATCTACATTTCCAGCAGCATTCTGAATCTGCAACCTTTCATTCCGTATACGGGTGGCAGGCCGGCTCCCGAACCCCCATATTAAGGTTACTTCTTCTCCTCGATGGCGAGGCCACGGACATGGATGAATTTGAGCTAGATCTTCTAGGTCTCTCTTGGATTCATGTGACGATATTTTTGATTGGCGCCGATGGGTGTCCGCATCATCATCGTCATGCTAACGAGCTACAGAGAATCAGCGAGGTCAACCCCCATGTTTCCTTTGTTGATGCTCAAGGCAACACCCCGGAGCGGTTTGTTACCCACGAGCTACTCAAGCGGCATCTTGGCTATGATCTTTCAATAACCGAGTTCGAGGAGTTGGAGCACCCGCCATCATATGAAGATTGAGTCTCGGGCAGTCACACTATTCTCACTGTCTACTTTATTGTAATATCTTGTACATTTATCATGCGAACTTTCCGAAATGTATTATTTCCTAGGTCTCGACCCAAGGACATACCATTGACGAATAATGGTGATAAATCGAGATAGGCATCAATCAAGCCTACCCGACCTAGCGTGCAATAAAACTCCAGGGCCACACTCTTTGGTAATGGTGTACGACTTTTTCCACAAGCAACTGTAAATTGCTTCTCTAATCTTTGTTTCCGCGTATTCCATGGGCAAGAATAATGAAGGATTCTCCATGTTACATTTCATCCTCCAGTCAACTCCGCGCGTCCCGGAGAAATCGCATTAGTTTCGTCTGATGTGTACGGAGTATATCCATTAGAATCCGAAAGGTCCGTGGTAGAACAGGACCCTACACTATCCACCAGCAGTCCGCCCAGCCGTAATCGGTTTGTCTTACGCACATAGACTCAGATGGGTACGGAGGGCGACTATTGTAAAACGGACTGGCGTTTCTCTTCCACTCTTCCAAAAATTGAAGCATCCCGTGCAGTTCTTCAGCCGGGCCGCGGTGCTTTCGGAGGACACGCACGTACTTGAGACTCCAGTATTATCAGGGACGAATTTCACCGCCCATTTCAGCTGTGGGAGACACAGGCTAGTCTTGCTGGATCCGGATTCTCAATGACTCGAGCTATTGTCACGAGGGATTTGTAAGGGAGCTAAGAGAGTAGTTAGCGCACCCATCATCATAACCTCAACGCCTCCTCTCGACTAGTCTCCAGGACCGCGTGAATGAGAAATATGAACATGGGGAATGACATGCTGAAGTTTGTTATGCACAGGCAGCCCATAAGGCGCTTCCTATGCTACTACTATGTCGCAAACTTTAGATGTGCGACTATACATAGAGCTCATGACAGCAGGTCTTGGAATTCAGAATGAGTCTGGGGAGGACTTCAACTTAGGTATGATGTCAGCACTTCACCGCCACTCTTACACGTTCAATATCCTACGGCGAGGTCCTTGGCTGGGGTGAGGAGCCACCCGGATGCAGGATTGTCTAGGCCGTAAGTGTAAATCTATTGAAACATGTTCTAGACGCTCCGGTGGAGAATAGGACCGTGTCGATTTAAGTCCATGCACGAGATGTTCGTTATCCACGTCAGGCATCTTTTCACAAGGGCGAAAATGCATGGTTGTAACCCAGGTAGCTGGATGCTCACATTCCTGGGTGCCGAGAATGCCAGTTTTCCACCAACACATAACAACATCATATCATGCCTTGGTTCCTTGGGGGATTGCCGGCGAAATGGTCCAATGATTGAGGGTTAAGAGAATAACCACCCTTGGTACGGAGTAGATTCATCAATTGATCAATGAGACAACTCCACTTGATAACTCTTCCGCATCCGTAAATAGCGACGGGTATTGACTAAATGCAGTATCGGCCGCGAGGTGGCATCACAGTAACCGAGAAATTCACAATTAGCGAACCATCAACACCTCTATACAGTACTCCAAGAGTCCAAAGCCTCGTTAAAGCCACCTGAACCCACACACTCCCGTTCAATTCAAGCCGCGGCGTTCTCGACCAACCGCATACAGGAGGAAAAACGAGCAATCCTTTGAACGCCAAGATAGATGCAGTGTTATCATACCATATCCATCTGAATATAGCCGATGAATGATTCGAAGGGCATCTGTTGTTGTACTCCGTAAGTTGGAATGCAGCTTCCATGTCTCCGTCCCTCGGCAATTGTCGGCGTCTGAAAGAACGGCAAAAGAAAACCCCCACGGAGGGTGGGAGCATGCGGTGGCGCCATGGTGTGGGGGATTAACCGCGGGGATTTCCTATTTCATCGGGTTATGAGAGTTATACAGCAACGAAAGCCTGGGGGTGGGGAAGATACAGGGCAAAAGAGGCGAATAATCCGTGGGGGTACCGCAGCGACGCTTGATATAAACCAGTTCTTCTGCCCGCAGCAGTTGCGGCCTCTTTCTTTTCTCTGTGTGTGTGTGTCTCCATACCTGAACTAGTACGTATAGGTGGCAACCCGTCATAGATATCCATGGCCCCCTCAAGCAAGCCTCACGTTTCCCACAATGAGAACGGGGAGGCACCGAAACCACAAGATGTGGACGCCCTCAACATAGTACGAGTCCCGTTGACGGATGAAGACAGCAAGCGCATCCGACGGAAAACAGACAAACACATCCTCATCATCCTGATGTGGGTGTACTTCTTGCAAATCCTCGACAAATCCGTTTTAGGATACGGTGCGACCTTTGGCTTGAAAGAGACTACACATCTGACCGGCGACCAATATTCACTGGTCGGATCTATTGCGCCCATAGCTCAACTCGCCTGGCAGCCCTTCTCGTCGTTTTTGATTGTCAAAGTCCCCCATCGCATTTTAATGCCCATTCTGGTATTTGGGTGGGGCGTTGCCCAGGCATGCATGGCCGCATGCCACAGTTTTGGAGGCTTGATGGCAGCCCGGTTCTTCCTGGGATTGTTCGAGGCTGGTTGTTTGCCTCTATTCAGTATCATTACGAGCCAGTGGTATCGCCGCGCTGAACAGCCCCTTCGCGTTGCAGCCTGGTATAGCACCAACGGGTTGGCCACCGTGGTGGCAGCCGCTCTGTCATATGGGCTGGGGCATATCAAGTCCAGCGTGCTGGTTGAGTGGCAGATGTACGTTATGCCTCCCTAGGAACACCGTCTGGGAGGAGGGAAAAAGAAGACTAATTTTCTCTACAATTGTAGTATTTTCCTTTTTGTCGGGTTGGTGACTATAATCTCGTCCCCGGTGATATATTTTTTCCTCGACAACGACATCCCGTCCGCACGTTTCCTCAACGACCAAGAAAAATTACAGGCCATGGAGCGGTTACGTGCCAACCAGACTGGGGCTGGAAATCGTGAATTCAAGATGTATCAGGTCCTCGAGGCTGGTCTTGAACTCAAGACCTACCTGTGGATTGGCATCGCGCTTCTCCTAAACATCGGGGCAAGTGTCACTAACGTCTTCGGCCCATTGATCCTCAGTGGGCTCGGGTTTGACAAATTCAGGACCACCCTGCTCAACATGCCCTTTGGAGCGGTGCAGTTTGTTATCATCCTGCTAGCAAGTCTTCTGGCCCAAAGAGCCCGCATGAAGGCTGTCATCTTGTCTCTATTCCTCCTGCCCGTGATCGCCGGTTTAGCCATTCTCTACGCGGTCCCACGCGACCACTCTGTGCAAAGTACCCTTATGGCTGGATATTACCTGCTCGCCTTTCTTTTTGGAGGAAACCCTCTCATCGTTACTTGGATTGTGGGAAATACAGCGGGCACGACCAAGAAAAGTACCGTAATGGCGCTTTACAGTGCGGCATCCGCAGCAGGAAACATCATCGGACCCTTGTTATTCAACGCAAAATATGCCCCCGCATACTTGCCAGGGTTACGAGCGTGTCTGGCAATCTTTGTTGCTCTGGTCGCCGTCGTTCTCATTCAGTGGGCAAATCTATTTGTTTTGAATAAGCTGCAGGAACGGCGACGCGTTGCAAATGGCAAGCCTGCCAAATTGGTCGACCAATCTATGCAAGACCGGTTTCCCCAACCCGATGAAGACACGGCTGTCGAGGATGGCGAAGCTGAGCTGCAAATGGGGAGTAATGCCTTTATGGATCTCACCGACCGGGAAAATGATGAGTTTATGTACATTTACTAGGCATTTTTATGCCCTTCTCTTCCGAACTAGCGATATTGCAATGTTTTGTCAATGATACCATGTGAATAAAACGATACAGAACAGCGTAGACCCAGCATGTAACTTGCGCCCCGAAGAGCATCCTAACGGCCAGCTAATGTATATATTTTGAACTGCGGGGTGATTCGTTGCGTCTTCCTTGGTCTAGTTTCTAATATCCTATTGCGGGCAAGGTCCTGCCGAGGGTAAGCTCGCCAAGTACGTATGGCTCCTGTTGTAGTTGCTCATCAGTGTGGGCCAATATATAGAGAATAACATCCAAGGTACGTATAATGCTAGGTGGCTCTATTAAGTTACAATTCTAGCAGTCACCACCGTAGTTGATACACGCAATGCGGGCAGTATCACAAGGACCAACAACCGATGCTATTCTTCAGACGTGAGCCATCTCCGGGGACTTGTATTCGTCCTGTATATTCACCGTGGTAGCCTTCTTTTGCGCCGAAAAAGCGGATGCGAGAACTGAAGTCAGCACCAGTACGACGCCCAACAGTAACTGAGAGAGCATCATTAGCTTAATCCATTATTGTACGAGTTCCTATGTGATCTCACCTGGATATTGATTCGATGCTGGGATAACACAAGAGGCAAGCTAATAGCCAAAGAAAACCCTAGCCCTTGGGCATAGTTTTTCGTCACAGTACTTGTCCTTTGAACGCACCAGGCCACAAGAAACCCCCCCGATACTTGAAGGCCGATGTAGATCACAACAGGCACAGTGAAGCCGCTAAAGAAATGCGCAAAATCGAATTGTGTTAGCCATCCAAAGTAGAGGAGGGCAAATACAAAACTATAGCCAGCCAGCTGGGCATTGCAGAGGAACAGAAAGCCAGATCGCTTTATGGTCTTTTCCATATATATGCTGCCTAGAGCCACACAGACGCCTGCCAGCAGCATCGAAGCCACTCCATGCACGATGGCCCGAGCCTCCAAGGGCTTGGTCGCACTCGAATTCCCCGCAGTGCTGCCGAGCTGGGCCAAAACGATACCTAGCGCCATCATGGCGACGTATAGCCAGTTTTTCAATGGGTATCTCTGATTCAAGATGGTTCGGGCAAAAAGCGGTGCCATGATGACCTTGAGCTGCGATAATACGAGATAGGGCACCAGATCTAGGTAATATGCCCCCACGCTCTGCAGAATTGTTGCAATGGTGTAAAGCAGAGCCGGCACCGCGGCATCCTTATGCGCAGTGAAGAAAGTAGGCGAAGGCGTCTCTGCTTTGGGATATAATGATAGGGAATACAGAACATAGATCGCAGAGAGAATGAACTTGAGGATCTCAACCAAGATGATGCCCGTGAGAGGCTCAAATCGCTCTTTGGTCTCTGCTGGGCGCGATTGAACCTTATGTTGTAGCTAAGATTTCTCTTCAGTAAGAGCCACAACTCCGCATGGTAGATGGTACCTACCGTCACAGACGCCATATTCTGGAGAACAAGCTACACGCTATCCATTAGTCGGTAATATCCAGGATGTTAGGGTGCGCACATCTTACTAGGAGGAGTGCCGTGAATGTCAACAGCTTGATATTAATCTGTCCGGGAAGACCGGGACTCCATGTCTTCCGCGACCTAGATTCCATGTTGGAAAGAGACCACAAATTCCGATGTCGATTGGAGTACACAACGATCCAGAACTAAGACAGAGCAAATCCAAGTTATTTTTGTGTATGCGAAGGGGTCTTCTCCCCTCAATACCCAAAAACTTGATCTACCCCCAATCTGGCGGTGTTGGACTGTGGAGGACTTTTTGACCTATAATAATCACACCACCGTTAGGAAAATCAAATAAAATTCAGGAAAATTATATGGTATCAATTTTATTTGGTGTTTCTGGCTTTTTTTTTCTCTCTCTTTTTTTTTTTTTTTTTTTTTTTTTTTTTTTCCCTTTTGCTTTTGTTCGGTCAGTGTTTCCACCTATCCAATATTCGGGACCGCAATTTACGGCGTGCCCACTGAGGAGGAACAGGCAGAGTTGCCTACAGAGTACGGTGCGAATCCCCTGGAAGCTCCACAGATGCGTCTTATTAGTTGGTTCTATTCATGATGATGACTTCTTTTCCCCTTTCCAGGCAGAAGAAATAACACGGAAGCAAAAGACCGCTCTGGCACCCAATAAGCGGATCAAAGGATACCCGCTTTTAATCCTTTTGCATTTTTTTTTTTTTTCTTTTTTTTTTTCTAGACTCAGAAAAGCTTTTTGGAATCACGTCCATTGTATGTGCAGAGTAGGTAGGCTATTATTAATTCCCAGCATGGCGGAGTAACTAAATACCCCTAAGAATAGCAGAAGGTTAGGCAGAGAGGAGATAGATAGATGCATTTGCATTGCCCTCCGCGGCCCCAGTTACTGAATTTAGAATATCGGGGCCTTTTGCAATCCAATTTCTTCTCTTTGTAAGCTCTTGATGTTCTTTAATCTATGGAATTACCAGAGTATGGAGTATGGAGTAAGCGAGCGAGCGAGAGAGAGAGAGCTGCATGAAAGTACAAATTTCACTGTGAATAGTTGCATTACTAGCGCATACACCTTCTTGATGGAACCGTGACTGTTGGACAACGCCGGAATAGGTCAAGTTGCACCGGCTCTCGTAAATTATAGCGTCAACGAATCTCCTGGAGAAAGGGTTCCGGGTGAGTTTTCCGCGGCCTGCAGTACCGTGAATTTAAAGCTATACAGGCATGGCTTGCCCCAACTTTTGTTCCTGACGTCCGCCGCTGCTGTTTGAAATAAGTCATGGCTCGCACTCGGCTTCGAGTACTCTGGGTGTGCTTCCTGGTATTTCTTGGACTCAATCTCTACTCGCTGCCGGCGCTGCGAAGCCTCTATTATCTTTTACGACTCCCGTTTGTATGGAATGAGTCGACAGCGGCCGCCGTCATTTCCCAGCAACACGACCACTTTGACCTCACGTTTGCGGCCTACGATGCCAACTACTCGACCAGCGATGCGGGGTTGCGTCCCCTGATTCCCTCGAAACTCCATCACATCCATCTAGGATCCAATCCTCCACCAGCGAAATGGCTGGCCGCAAGGGCAGAATGTCTCAAACACCACAAGTCGTGGGAAACGTTCCTCTGGAATGACGAGAACGCGGCGCATTTTGTGCAGGATCAATTCCCCCATCTGTACGACATGTGGAATACCTATCCGTTCATGGTCCAGCGCGTTGATGCCCTGCGCTATATGGTTCTTGAAAAACACGGGGGTACGGTTGCCATCATCTGATCTTCCCACGAGACCAGCATCGCTAACGGAAGATCCCAGGCGTTATCCTCGACTTTGACCTCGCATGTAAACGTTCGTTGGAGCCCTTGCGCCAATTCGACTTTGTTGCTCCTGCGGCTCATCCCACGGGTGTCTCCATCGGCATGCTGCTTGCCTCGCCAAACAACTCCTTCGTCAAGGCGCTGGTCAACAATTTACCAGCCTTTAATCGCCGGTGGCTATTACTCCCGTATGTCACAGTGATGTTTAGCACGGGTTGCCATTATGCCTCGTAAGTCGTTCGCCTCCGTCCCCTTGATCCTCTTATCATGTTTCTCCGTTGACCAATGATCGTCCACGTCTTTAGAACAATTTACACGCTCCAGCAGAACCGCACCAACCTCCGAATTCTCGCCGGAACCCCCCAACTTCCAAACCTACACATGTTGAACGGATTCGTTGACACGCCGCTCTTCCGACATTTCGGCTCTTCGTCATGGCATAGTAAGGACGCGCGACTGATTGCCTTCTTCAAAAATATGGATCAACGTATCCTTTTCGCCGTGCTAGTTTTCTCCCTCGCGGCCAGCGTGTCGTTTCTGGTGGTCCTTTGCGCGGGGCGACAACGGCAGTCTTCTCACCAGGATGTGGAATCTCACTTGTCGCAGTCCACTACGAAATTTTCCAGCAAGCACGCGTAGTGCATTCATTTCATTTCAGGTCTTGTTTTAATATATATATATATATATTCTTTTTTTTTTTTTTTCTCTTCTCCTGTGTATATAGATTTTTTTTTTTTTTTTACTTTTCAGCGCTCTATATAAAATAGTGTACCACAGCATATAGACCTCAAAGTATAATACATAATGATTTCCATTTCCTAGGTACTAATTTACACGCGATCGATCACTAGTTACCCCAATCGCTCTAATGTGTTAAACCACATATAGCGACTAATCACCAAGTATAAGACGCGATCCCACGAGTATTGACTTTGGTGTTGGCTAAAAGCAGCTCGTGATTCCAGATACGTCTGCCATGAGCTGACGAGAAGGGCCGTTTCGGTATGCCCACGGGGCGCCGTAGCACTCTGTGCTTCGTCTGGATTGAGGGGCGATGCGAGGAGAGCCTGTGCAATGCGCCAGGAGAAGGGCAGTGCAGTGGGGAGCAAGTCTATCAACGAGGAATATTTGCGCAGCAGAGCTGTACTTTGCAGCGCAAAGGCGGGGGGTGCATTTTGGGTAGTCGACACATACTTCCTAAAATAATACCAAAAAAAAAAAATGAAAAATAAATAAGTAATCAGCAAACCCATAAAAAATCAAAATCAAAATAAAATAGGAGGGGGGTGTGTGTGTGTGTGTGTGTGCATACTTAACACCAGCGCTGACAGCGCGATGGTTAATGTGGCCGGAGATTCCTCCGTGATCAAAGGTCATAATCTATACACCAGTCAGGTCAGAACAGGATAGCTCTCTCTGCCATGGGCCACGGTGAATAACGCACCACGTCAGCGTGCCATTTCTCAACATGGGGGCCGACAATGCTCGCGATCCCGTCTTCATCCCACCATTTCGTTGGATTATCTTGTAGATCGGGGTGGTTGCCAACCACGCAACGATCCTGGGAGATGCCTAGTGCAGCGCAGCTATTATGGACCTCGACTAGACGTTGATCCCCGATCCCATTGTAATTGCCTAGGCAGAGTATCCAAACAACGTTAATGGGGGGAAGAGGTCTATGGGGACAGACAACGCTAATTTACGCAAGACCAACCTGACGAGATCACCAATAAGGAGCGAGTCACATGGGGCTCATGTCGATGATAGAGGATACTGGGGCTGAAAAAGAGAGTTTCATCATCCGGATGCGCAGTCACAAGAACAATATTGCGTGCCTGTCGCAGGACTCCGGGGACAAGACGTGGGTCGTCGGCGAGGTGATAGGCAAGTAGGAAATACAACACAAGGACGGCCACCGTCACCGCACAAACCAGGGATGAAATGACTCGAAGCAAACTGCGCCTCCGACACAGGCGGGCCAGGCGTTTGAGGAGCCCCGAAATCACTACCATCATGGTCTGTCTCATTAGCGGGACTGGACCTGGCCCATGGAAGAAATTCTCAGCGGAAAGGGGGGGGAAAGGAAGGAAGACATGATATGATGGTGACTTTGAACCTGAATAAAGGATTACCTGCTACTCATGATTTGAAAAATACCAGCAATGTGAGGCAGCCCTTGAAACTCCGAAACGAAGCGCTTCCAAGTGGACCTGCACGGCTTAAACCAGCTCAAGGCTCGAGCTTATGCGACGAGGCAAAGCTTGACCAGCTTGACCTTTGACGCTCTGGCCAATCTCAGCCCTTGCAAATGTGACTGCCTAGTGACAAGCTTTAAAACACGATCTGGGTACTGGTCCCCGGTGATATAACAGGTCAGAAGTCCTCCGTTGGCTCCATCTGCAAGTGCACACTGCCACACACTATATCCAATTTCAGGCAATCACTCGGAAGATCGCGGAATCCTACATGTCTTTCCTAATCCTGCATATTTGCTCCGAGTGGATGGACGAACCCTGGGTTGTCAGTTAGTTAGTCAGAGTCTTCCCATGTCCCCAGTCGAGAAGAAGCAAGAGTGAGACATTTTTCTTCCAGTATGGAGTAGATCTAGCCTTTCATTCCAGCCCCCTCCCCTTTTTTTTTTTTCTCCCTTTTAGAGCCTCCTTTTTCATTTCCTCTGGTGTCTCATCTTAAGCGGCCCGTATTCCAGATTCTTGCGATTCTTACTGTACCGAGTACGGAGTATTATTCTGATCCCATCATGTGGTAGGAATTCATTGGTTTATCCAGAGGACCAGAGGTGTAAACTAGTGAAAAATTTTCAGTGCCAACCCTGAACCAGACCCGCTGGATATGCAGCTGACTCTTTAGTGAACCCTGTGAGGCTTAGTTACACAACTAATAATTTATTAACTAATAACTACTACATGTTCATCTAAAATTAAAATAAATAAATAAATAAAAAAGGAGAACAGCTGCTCCTTCGCTTACAATACCACCCTGGGGATTGCAATAGGTTCAAATCCATCCTGCCAAGGTTTCCGGTCCTCAACGATGACTTCCAGTCCGCGCCGGCCACAGAATCCATCGTTTCGCGCATCACGCTCAATCGTCTGGAAGCCACCTCCTTGACCATCACCATCACCATCGCGGTCGGTCCAGACGGTGTTGACGACCTTCGCGCCAGGAATCTCCGACTGGCGAGGGTTGTACCAGGGTAGTCCAACCACATGATTGAGCAGGGTATGGGCAAGGGGATATAGCCTCTCGAAGCGACGGGTTGTCCACAGCCAAGAGTGGCTTCGAGCATCGTATGCGACACGCACAAAGGGATTCATGTACGATCCTCGATCGCTGATGTCTTCGGGGTTCGACGGTGGATCCTGAATGTCCGCATGGACAATACAGCATTCCGAGGCGTCCCAAAACAACTCCGCGTCAGCCCGAAAGCGAACGGGATTCACCCCCTGGAAAAACTGGGCATCAAATGCCACCATCCCGCCCCAGCAGCTGCGGACGCGGACCGCATCTCGGCCCTGCAATACGTCGCGTCGGCTCTGCGCGTGGCCTGCCGTGGTGAACCAGGGGAAGAACGGAAGTCCGATCCCGTAGCCCTCCAGATCGCGCGTGGCGTAGGTATCATAGAACTTGAATGCATTGCTGAAGTCCACGGCGCAAGCCGCGCGGTACTGAGCGACCCCGTCAGCACCCCCCGCATTGGTACAGAAAAGAAGCTGAAGCGCCTCGACCGGGTCGAAGATGACATCGTTCAAGTAGAGGAGTTTGTCATATTTCACGTCCGGTTGCTGGTCCAAGGGTCGTAGAGCCCGATTTCGAACCTCCGCCAGATAATCAATCCGGCGAATGCGCTTGTCTCCGCCCGGCACAGCCACGCGAGGGATTCCGCCCAAGCTGAGATCCGGCTCAGCTAGAATAGAATGGTTGCAAGTCACTTGATTGGATAGAGCGTCCAGGGCACGCTGCCCGGTTTCTCCGCTGTTGTTTTCGTATATGCTCAGGAAGACATTTTCCTCACCCAGAAGCTGAATGAGTTGGAGCAGTGCATGGCCCCAGCGCCCATTGGCGATCTCTCCTTGCGGGTCATAGAGAACTGCGGCGATGAAAACCTTTTCATTCCGGAGATTGCCCCTTCCATGAGCTTCCGTGCGCTGTACCCGCTCTTGCAGAGCCTTGTAATGCGCTGGTAGATGTGTATAGGACGGCCAGAAGGTGGCTGTCAAAAATATAGATGCCAGGAGAACGCCCAGCGCTACGTTAAGAATCAGAAAGGGCATGCGACGTATGGATCGATATCGAGATCCACGTCTCAACGAGAATTTCCCGCTGGTGACCAGCCGCAGGGACGCTGTAGAGGCGCGAGAGAGTACGGTAAAAAGCCCTGTTGACAGCTTGAGCAACCCGATTCCCAACCCCGGCAAAGGCTGCAGATCCCGTCGCCATTCCCCATCTTCTTCGCGGAAATTGAAATGCTCTCCCGATTCCAGTGATATCCGATCATCTAGCTCATAACCATCCGGTCGGAGGGGACGGGCTGACATGGTGGTCAAGGGTGAGTGAAAGGCACTTTTTATCATCTTGGGGGCCGCCTTTAAAAGGTGTAAATGTCACGTGTTCGCGCCAAGATATGCCTCATTTATTGAATTTTGTTTTCTTTTCTTTCTATAAAAGGGAGATTTCTCTAGATTTCCTGTGTTTAAAGTGGCGTGGGTTGATATAAATATATATACTACATCTGCATGGAATGGGGGGGCACATCCAGTCAAATTTAGATCTATATCACCACGAGTGTTGGATGTGCTGTTTGCCCGAGTATACTCCGTAGGGAGATGAAGATCGGAAGTGTAAGTATAATTAATAAGTGTATACGAAAAAAAATTACTACTACATCAAACAAGAATTAAGCTTAACTTTTCGCTCTCGTGTCACGTAATGAAGTTATGAGGCACCTTCGACCAGTCCCTGCAGCGCCCGAATACCGTGCGGCAGAATTTCCCATACTCAACGAGAAGACTGGTTTTCCTCCAGGACCCTTGAGCATGATGGACTAGGCGCGCGGAAGGATCGGTCACCGATTTCGACCCCATATTGCCATACTGGCCTCGACCAGGACTTCCAGATCAGTCAGCCCTGATACATACATACATATATCGATATTTTCACCGAGCAGGAGGAGAAAGAACATACCTGAAGCCCGTGATTGGGAGAACCAGAACTTCACCCACCAACTTGCTGAGACCCCCATCCCTGAGGCCCGAGAGAGCATTCCACCTCAGCCCCGAGGTACTTTCGAGCCACATACGCACAGAGTCCGTGAAAGCGACAGGACCCGTGAATGTCAGTGGATCCAAAGCGTACATTTCTTGCTGCGCGGAATTTGATTCCAAGTGGCCGTTGTTGTTACTGGAGACGATGTGCAACGTCATAAATAGGTGATCGAGGAATAATTGCAGGATAGGGTGCCTCGGTGTCCAGGCGAATGACCATTGCGTGAGCTGGACCGGGTAGGTGTAGCCCATGCGCCAGTACAGATCGGTGTCAGGGGAGCAATCTGCTTCCAAGCCTACAATTGCCTGGACCGGTTCGGTGGAGTTATACATATGGCCTGTCTCTGGATCCCGCCAGGACAAGATATCTGTAGAGGTGATCCAGTCTGTTGGCGAGCGAATGGGCTCCGTGTCCATATCGCCATACTTATTATTGCTCATTAGTGTCTTGACAATCTGGACAATTTCTGGGATACAAAGAGGACCGAAAAAAAAAAAAAAAAACTTACAATACCACCAATCCATTTAGAAACGAGAATGCGAAACACGTCCGAGCGTTCTACACTGCTTGGGAGAGCATAGAATTGATCTTCTAGTCCAGGCTCGAACGATTTGATAAACTGAGCAATGCCATCATCATCCCACAGAAAGTAGGCCATTGTGCTGTCTTCAACAGCCCCGAGCCATTTTTCAGTACTCTGACGAAACATGTCCGGCCATGTTTCTGGATTGGTATTCTTCCAAGTTTGGTGAAGAATCAATGGGATAGTAGAATGTGGAAGTTGCCTCTGCGCTGTTGACCTGGACAGGTTCAGGGCGCATTCTGCGGCCTCAACAATGTTGCTGGGGGATATACCTGACCCCCGAGTCCACTCTGGAGGTAAATACCAAACTGATTGATTGCCATGTCAGCTGCAATCGTGCGATCACTTTGGGGAGAGAGAGAAAAAGGGGGGGGGGGGGGTAGTAGGTGTGTATGTTTAATTTCTTACCTCCACCGTCTCTTCTCCGGTCAGTTACATATCTTGCAAGCAGGGGGTATTTAGTCGGAGCGAATCGTGGATTATTCGTTCGCCAATGTAGCAGCAACGTCAAGAAAAGCACCAAGGCAACTGCCAGGGCTACCACTCGCCGTAAACGCCGTGGTGATCGCATTGTGGATGTAATGTTAAAACGACCTCCAGGCCCAAGGAAAATCTTTCCACAAATACCAATCTTCTTATTCGGTCGCGATCATGTTCCTTTGGCCGGTAGATTGCCTGCATTGACGTCTTGAGTCTACTCTGTACATGGACAGAAAAAAAAGTTTAAAGGCAGCCAAATGAGCCTAGCCAGACTTCACCTAACGAGGGAATGAAGGATAAATTAGGTGGCAGTATTCCCTGTGTATTCGTTAGTTACACAGCCCACCGCCCCCTAAAAGGATTGGAGGGGGGAAAAGGAGAACTGCACAGTACTCCGTAATCGAAAGCGGAAACATCATCTTGAAAGATTAGCTGTTCCTGAGTGAGGATTAGTTCGGCGTAGTGATTGCGAAACTATTAGTGAGCAATTGCAAGTTCGTAACTTTCCAAATCCGGGAGCCACACTTGGGGCTCGGACAATCATGTGATCGGACCGGACATTTTTGTTTTTTTTTTTTTTTTTTTTTTTTGTTGGAGGCTCGGAGGATTTGAGAGGAGTTTTCGTCCGGTCCGATCTATGTTCTAGAGCAGTAGCTAGAGCAGGAGGGAGGAACTCGTAATGGTTGAAGTGAATAGACATACATCAATCCTATGGCTCCCTACCTGGATCACCAGCAGGGCTTCATAGCACTCCCCACGGGGATCGTCTTGATTCTTTGCAGGTTATAGAAAGAAGTAAGGCTTGGGAAAGCTTTACATATTGACAGGATGCATGCTTGGCAGAGCTTACCCTCAATCTCCGACGTTTAACTCCCCTTTTAACTCCGCATGAAAGGCTTCTTATATACTTCTTGTATCCTGACTGTCTTCTGGCTTTTCTTTTTTTTCTTCCTCCCAGGGCCATTAAATGAATTGTCCTCGACCTCCATCATGCCGGTAAATCAAAGCGTCAAAAATGCTCTGACATTGATCAAAAATGACCCTTCGAAAGTGCTGGGCTTGAAGGTTGGCACACATGAAATCAACCCCGGACAATATGTCCCCAAAGCTGGTAGGAGACCCTGATTTCGTGTCTGTGGTACATGGGGAGACTTAACGGGGAATAGATGCCCAGTCCGCCCCAGAGCTGTCCTTCCCAGCGGTGTCCCCGAATGGCATCTATATGGTTGTTGGCTTAGATATTGACGCGCCATTTCCATCTTTCGACGTTCTGGGCCCTATCTTGCACTGGATTCAACCGGATCTCCGACCTACTCGCTCCCAGAACGGTACTTTCGCTCTGAAGACCACTGCCCCGTTTGTGGCCAACTATATTGGCCCTGCGCCGCCACCCCCAAGCTCGCCTCATCGATACATCTTTTTTCTCTACGAACAGCCCGCCAACTTTGAAGGCAAAAAGTACGCCCCTCCTAATGGGCAAAACCTCAGTAACTGGAATCGCATGCGATATGACCTTGATGCGTGGGAGAAGAAGATCGGGTTGCGTGCCCCGATTGCGGCCAATTATTTCGAGAGCAACTAAATGGCCAGAGGATGTATTACTTTGAGTCCGTTATGCGATACCACTTATAGCGCCCCGGAGAGGGAGGAGGAGGAGGAGGAGGAGGTTGCAAAACCCTTGGCTTATCTATAATCTATCTATAGTTCATTCCGCATCCTATATGAGTGACAATCCGTAGTAAGTAAATTGGACGTTGAAGCGTAAGATTTCCTCATGCCCTGAACTCTCAAACGGAATCCCACCGCTTCATTCTCTTATTCTTCTTATCTGCAACCTTCGACGAGCCTGGAAGGATCCTAACTCGTGGATCCGTGCGACTCAGTCTGAATAGTGCTGAGAACGCAATTACGGTGCGTAGACAATAATGCTGTATTAGTTTACGTTAATTAGACGAGTCTGGCAATACAGGAAGATTCTGATTCTAGGGATATTAAAGAGATTTTACTAATTGTCTAATGAGAGTGTAGATTCTAATGTACATTTTTTTTTTTTTTTTTTTGGTGACCTTGAAGCACCTCAGTCATGCCTCAATCGCTATCTCGCCTTTCTCCGTGTCCTTTGGTTCGTCCTTCTTCTGGCTAATATCCTTCCAACCCAGTCCCCATGAAGCGACAAACTGTACAACTGCTAATGCAGCGGCTAGATAGAACACTCGGTCAATACTCTTCGCATATGCCGACAAGACTCCAGGCAAGTCTTGCTGAGAAATCACGTCCCGAAACCCCGTAGCACCGGCGGCGATGACAGTGTTGGGATCGACATTTGGGGCGTATTTGGGGATGGTATCCTTGAGACTATTGGAGAAAATGACTTCGGCAACAGCCAAGAAAACCGATCCACCAAAGGTCTGGCTGAAGGTAAGAATGGCCATAGCCGTCGAGACTTCATCAGGACTAATGGCGTTCTGTACTGCAATCATGGGCTGTATATATATACCATAGGTTAGCAATGACCCTCCAAAGAGTAGGAAATGGTGCAATTTAATGCGTTGAGTAACTGAATGATAGAAGATGGGCTCAACTGACCGCTTGTGTAGAGGCACCTCTACCGAAACCAAACAGGGCTTGGAAACCAGCCCAGTCTCTGGTGGGCGTGGTAGGGCTGAGCGTCGCAAGAAGCCCAGAGCCAATGGCATTAAGCATGCTGCCAAAGACAGCCCATGGGAGATAGTACCCTAGCTTGCCGGCTAGATAGAGTCTAGATGTTAGTAATGGGAAGGGAAGAGAAAAGTTTTAGGAGGACATGGCATCACATACTGAGGACGCCGGATACGACAGCCATGACCAGCTGGCATAAAACATTCGGTAGTAGGTCCACGCCGCTAACCAAAGCCGAATGGCCTCTTACTGCCTGGAAGTAGATTGGCAGATAATAGGTCATTACCATGGTCATGCCAAACATAGTCATCATGGACACGTAGCTGGAGTACGCAATGCGCGGACGGATCAGATGGAAGGGAATCATTGCCCCTTCTCCTGTCCGATATTCCCAGATTAAGAAGATAATGCATGTGGCGCCTGCGCCGCAAAACAAACCAATCACTGTGGAGCTGTTCCATGCGTATTTGTTTCCTCCGTACTCGAGCGCAAGAAGGAACATGATCGCCGCAGGTGCAAAGAGGACGAACCCAACGAGATCAAACGTCTTGAAAAATGTAGGCAGAACCTCAACTGCACGCCCTTTTTTCCGTTGTTCCGGAATGTGAGTGAAAACAAGTAGGACGGCAACCAAAGCGCCAATGGGTAGGTTGATATAGAAGCCTGTTTCAATATACGACTTCCGGTCAGATAGAGCTCTTTGTCGTTTATGCTAGCGGCAGGACAGTACTCACACCATCGCCAGGTTGTGTACGTTGTGAATGCACCTCCAATTAAAGGCCCCAAGACAAGACCAAGTTGCGAAACTGATTACGAGACACTGCCTTTAGCAAGATCTTCTTGACTTGGACTTGCAAAAAAGATAACATACCTCCCATCATAATTCCAATCATAGCTGGTCTTCGGTGCATTGGCAAGGCCCCCGCGATGATGGTCATCGCCCCGTTTACCATGCCCGACGTACCCATTCCGGCAACGGCACGACCGACAATCAACATTTTGGAGGAGTTTGCCAGGCCGCATATTAAGGAGCCCAGCTCGAATACCCCAAAAAATCCGAGAAAGACCCACTGCCGGGAGGCATAAGCAAGCAACTCATTTTATTGATTTGGGGGGGGGGGGGGGGGGAGGAAGGCACCCCTACCTTTGTTGTGAAATGTGTATAAAATTTCCCGGTTAACGGCTGCAACGCACAGCTGAACAAGAATAAGTTAGCAAAAGGGACACAATAGATCCACCTGTGCTTAGTATAAGACATACCTTGCTAATGTATATGCGCTGCCGTACCACGCGACGTCTTGCAGAGAATGAAATTCGTTGGTGATTCGAGGGATTGCCTGGTCAAGGATAGAACGTTAGCTCGTTGGACAGGCCAAAGTCCTTTGAAGAAGGCGATTTTTACCGTAGAGACTATAGAAGTATCCAGCAACATCAAAAATATCACCAGTGTGACTCCAGTTATCGCCGCGAATAGTGGAATGCCGCTGATCCACTCTTGCTCTGTTGAAGGGGTATCTTTCTCGGTAGGGCTCCGCGGTTCGGACTTTTGAATATCATCTTGAGTCGATCCAGACGCTCCCTTGAATGATGTAGGTCTCGAAGGAATACTCTTTCGAGCATCGGCCGCGAGCGTTTCTTTCTGCATTAGGGTATCACTCCCGCTTTGGCTGGATAGAGTAGCAGTACGAGAATCGTCCATTGTGAACGCCGAATTGGTTTCCCAGGCTGTCAATATACTCACATAATGAAAATAGAATATGAGGATATTTCACTCCTTTTTAAAGGACTGCTGGGTATAGCCCACATTGTTTACTGAGTACGGTGTTAAGTCATCTCCGAATCTGAATTCCGTCGCGCTATGGGCCCGAGAGTGATCGGAACGGTGTTGGGCCAACACCGGTACACCCGAATCCGATTGTGCCTAATCTGATGTGTCTATATACATCCATTTGAGATATCAACGTTGATAGGTTTCTATCAGGTGAGAAGCCCATAGGCTGCATAATCCTCGGTCTATGTAAATGATATGCATGGGAGAGCTACGTGTCGTTATTTGGAGAGCATGGAACATACAGGTACAGGCTAAGAGGTCGCTTTTTATCCTGGAGGTGTGCATTACCAAGAAGCCACGTGTAAATAGTAAAAATAGAGTCCCTGCGGAGAGTTATGACATGTTTTTGATGGCTAAACAGCATTAGTGATCTATAATAGGCTCTAACTAGGCGTTGCGGTCAAAGAGGTATGTATTGTGCCATCGTTATCCGCCCATCATTAGAGAATCTGTTAACAAGGCCATGTCTGGCAATGAGAGCCAGGCATCGAAAAATTGTTGGTCAAATTCAGCAGGAGGCGGCGGCGGCGGCGGCGGCGATTTCACACTGTCCACGCTGTCGAGAGAAGCTGGCTGCATATCCAGAAGCCTTGATGCCCACCTAGCTCGTAAGGTGAGTGTGATTTTCGCGCCCCTACAAAACGACGCGCCGAGAGTATCCTGGTTCTGGTGGCCTACCTGCTCGGCTGCCTCGGTGAACTTGTCCGCTACTTGCTGTGTGACGGACAAAACATCAAGCGATTGGCGAACCGTGGCTCCATCCCAACCTGGATACTCAAACGTGGTGAGACGGAAGAGGGTGACCAAACAGTGGGCTACGGGGAGAATAATCGTAGACGGAAGACATAGCCATGCCTTTATAGGGAAATCGAAAATCAACTGAAACCACTTCTTTAATGCGTACAGACATGCATACAAGTCATCTAGCCGGGTAAAATCTATATCACCGTCTACCCCAGTGGGTTTCGACAGACAGGTCTCGTAAAGCATTGCTTCAGCATAATATAGATGCAACTGTAAAGCTTCTAGACGCCTTATGTTAGTGAAAGGTAATTCAAAAATGCCCGGGATTCACTTGGCCTACTATTCTGGCATAAATCTGGCGGCATTTGGTCCCTGAGGTCGATAAATTGTGACTGGAACGCCTTGATGTAGAATCTTACGGGCGCTCGAGAAAGTGCATTATCGTCTGCCAGGATGTCGCAGTCGTGGCCAAGTCCACGCATTATGTTATCGGCAATTAAACAAGCCCGAGTCATGTACACCAAGAGGGCATCGTTTGGCGTTTCTTTGCTGTCAGCCAGGATATCGAGGCATTCCTTCATGTGCGGCGTCCATCGCAGGGACTCAGCCCTGCCTAGGAAATGGGAGATTCTGCAAAATCACGTATGTTATGAGCATTGTACAGGTTGGTAGGTAAATGAAGGCCGCGCATACGATGAGCTAACAAGAAAACAACCGAGCACCGCTCTTCGTTCGTTCATGGTCCGAACCCGTGACAACCAAGACTTAATATAGTTGTGACCGGCCTTGAAGCATTGCGATGGCGCCATGTTGTTAGGGTTTTGTGAGGTTGGCTTGTTTAGCCCAAGATCAAACACCAGACTGATTGCCATTTGCATATATGGCCCTAATGTTCCCTTACGGGGTTGACATTGAAAGCTGATCCTACTGGCAGTGAGCAAGCCAATCGCAAAGTGCATAGTCAAGCACATAGCCTGGGAGACGCCATACCACCCTAGGAAGACCAAAATGGCCTGCAGAAGATCAAGACTCCTGTCACAATCAACTAGCAATGCCTTCGCGATTACTTCTTTGATTTCTGTATGTAGCGTGGTTTGCTGGGAGGTATTCTTCTGATTTAGGGTGGATATGCAACGCCAGAGGAATGGGGATTCCTGTCGCATCTGGGTGGCAGTTGCAGTAGCTGGGATATGCACAATGGGCAGGAATGGCAGCTGTTCCAGCCGAAATTCACTCAGAATCTCTTCGTCGGCTGCTGTACCATCGGTCGGGGCTGGGAGAGACTCTCCATGGCTGGGGAGACTACTGGGCTCCGGATCAGACAAGATGGCATTGGATGTAGATGTAGGCTCAGTGGCTCGCAGAAGGGTGACTAGTCCATCTAGCCGTCGCTCCAACTGTGCGGTCTTTGCAGCCACCGAAGTACGTCCAGAAATAGACTTTCGAACCCGACTAGCAGGTTGGCATTCTTTGCCCAGTCGTAAACACCTTCCGCCGTCAATGCCTAGAGTATAAACGCTATATAACCTGGGTACACACCTTGAACAACTTCCACTCGTCTCTGAAAGTAAACACTTACATTTGGACTTGGCACAGCTGGCACACGAACGCCCATATGGCGCGGATGCCCAAAGGTTACCTTCCATTGTCCTCCGTATTTCCAGGTCATGTTCCGATGCGGGATTCGGGGTTTGGGAGAGCGGACTCGGCTTTATATAGACACGGAGTCAGATAAAACCGGGAGATCGGACGGAGTTGGATGAATCCCGGATACGATGATGACTCACTGACCCACACGACAAGACAGAAATAATACGGAGTTATTAGGGGATTAATGGGATCCTAACACAATGGATGTCCTCTCTACTTGCGAGAATCTTTAGTATCCAATTGTCCCATACTAAATATCCTTAAACTGCACTGTCCACCTGCACTGAACTAGACTCGGTCTGGAACTACTGTTTATTCCATTTTTAGATTTAGATTCATATTGATACTATCTAGCTGTCAAGCTGTGCCTTGTACCTGACCTGTACCTATACTATACCGCATTAAACCCTTATAAAAATGCCTGTGGCATGTCCAAGGAATCAACTGAACTAGCCTCTAGCATATATTATGTCATGGCAGACGTTTCTTATCTTACAGTGGTATCATTAAGTAGAGATATGTACATTGCATTACAGCTCTTGCGCTAGTCATAGTGAAGTGAAATAAGGCATTATTCGTTTATCATTAAGCCTGTTTGCTTTGATAATCGGGTTCATCATCCCTCTCAGTCGTCGGAGAAGGAACCTGCCTCACGGCGCTAATATCTTCGATTTCAGGCGGCATGATCAAGTTAAGAAGCATAGCAACACTGTAAATCAAGTTAGCCTGAAAGTCAAGGGTTTCCCATCGAGAATGCAGAGGAGCTCACAAAGCAGTAACGGCAAACCCAGTCTCGAGGACCAGCTCAATTGCGTTCTCAAAGCCCTCCAGATTTTTGTTACCAGTGGACCCGAAAACGTTGGAGAACCAGGTGGGGACCAGAGTTGCACCGTACCCGAGGGCCATGGAAGCTGTCAAGATAAACCGATTGCGACGGTTGAAAGGCGCCTTGGAAACAATGGCCTGACCGCTGATAGCCACAGAAGCGAACAGGAAGGTCGTCATACCACCCATGACCGGGTTCGGGATGGCAACAATCGCTGCTGCGAATTTGGCGAAGATCCCCGCAACAATGAGGAGTAAACAGCAGCAGTACCCCGCTGTCCGGTTGGCACATCGTGTGAGGGCAATGACTCCATTATTCTGGGCAAAGGTAGTCATAGGAGTCATGGTCGCAAGAGCGGCAAGAATGGAGTTCAATCCGTCCGCAAGCACAGCGCCCTGGATACGGGACTCGAAAATTTCGCCTTCAACTTCTAGACGAGAGACATCGCAGGTTGCTGTCACATCTCCAATACATTCACAGGCGCAGATGATGAAAACAGCGAGAAGAGGGAGGACCATTGGTCCGTACACCGTGAGTGGGAATGTCTTGACCCAGATGAAGGACGCGACAGGGGCCTAAAATGTGTCAGTTCACGAAGACCCCCCTACAAGTATAGGGTTTGGGAGGAAATGGACATACGGCATCAATTCCGGACCGGTCAAAATATCCACAGGCAGCAGCAACGATACAACCAACTAACAAACCGATCACGACGGAGCAGGATTTCATGATAGGAGCCCCGAATCTCTCGCAGATCAAAATGGTCACAAACACCAGGAATCCTAGCCCGATAAATTCCGCGCTTCCCCAAGGCATGGCTCGCGGAGCTGTATCAGAAGGGCACAATCCAGTCGTGCAACCGGACCCTCCAGCCCAACCCTCGAAGCCACTGCTGATCAAGCTGATTCCAATGAGCATGACGGTGGGGCCCGTCACGATGGGCGGGAAAATCTTCTGCATCGTCTTAGGAGGGACGAAGGAGAGGAGGACTTCGACTAAAGCGCAGCACGCCGAGGTACCCAGTAACGCACCGTATGCTTCGGGGCAAGGGAGTTTAGTACCGTCCTTGTCAACCGGGCAGAATCCGTTGGCATACATCTGGCTGAAAGCCCCGGAGGCGACGGAGATAATCGCGAAGGAAACCCCCATAACAGAGAGGACTCCACTTCCGATAAAGAACCTAGATCACATCAATGCCCGTTATACTATCAACTGGGTAGGTTCACTCACGGCGTCTTGTAGATATGAAAGCGTGTGATTTGTACCATTGACAATATTCCACAGACGATCAAGGAGGTCGAAACCAGGTATTGTTGAAGATCGGACGGTAGGTTCAAGGAGCTCGACATAATAACAGGAGGGGTGACAATGCCCGCCAGCATTGCCAATGCATGTTGCAGGCCCAAGATGAAAGCAAGAAGTACGGGGATCTTCTCATTCAATCCGAAAAATGGGGCTGGGCGAGTGTCTCTTTTCATGAACGGAAGTTCGGGGCGGAAAAGAAAACGGTAGTCATAGTCGCCGATGAGACCGTCCTTGGTGGTGAGTTTCTTTACAAAGCCTTGTACACGCTGGCCTACCGTCTTCTTAGGATTGGAACCAGGAACGATAGTATCGGGACCATCTAATGAGTGGATGGAAGTATCCATCCTTTCCTTGGGCACCAAAGGTTTGTTTCGCAATAACCTTGAATTGGCAAATCGTTATTCCTTTTTTTTTTTTTTTTTTTCTCTCTCTCTCTCTTTCACCCTAACGTCCAAGCCACGAATGAATTGATAGAATTATACCAGGGATACTCTCTAAATATACGGGGCATGGATAGTGGTCGTTACAAGGGTTTTAAGTACATCCAGCATGACAATTGTTGTTGGTCATTGGATAAGGACGATCGAATAACCTACAGGGAGCTTTGCTATCACATCTGCCCTGATAAGACAACCGACGCTAATTAAAGTAAAGAAGATATGTCTTGACGAAAATAGGAAGCTCAGACACCCGATTGACTTGGTTTAGCCAGGCAGCCAGTGATGGACTACGGCACTGAGTAAAGCCCAGGGATGGGCTGAGCTAACTAGTTGGTCAACTTTCGGGATTTCTAAGCTCAGAGATAAGGAATACTATACGGACCTCGCCTGTTGGGTGATGAATCAAGAAGTTCCATGTACGAGACGCGTGCTTGCGGGGATTGCCTGGATGATAGTAGGTATATAGCAGGAGGGGGTATACAGAATCCAAGAGGGTGGGCTGCTCTATCTGCGCCACTATCTTGCCCAGCTTTTCTGGCAGGACGATAAAAATACAAAAGTCTCCTTCAAATACAGCATCCACCATGAACAGCAACGGTGGCCCCCGTCGGGTATTTCCCCAGGATCCAGTGCGAGTGGGAGAAAGAAGCCTCCGACAAACGGAAGGACGGAATTGGCCAAAGACAGAGTTGTCACTTCAAAACCAGGAACCAAATTCTTCAGGTCCATCAGATAACTGGAATAATTGCTCGTGGTCATTATAACGGCTTATCTTTGCCTTCTTTTCTATGGCTTGACTCGAGCTTATCAGGGCTTCTTTCTTGTAGTCGGCGGGCTCCGACAGCACGTGAAACTAATGAGTCATCAATAACACTGCTGAGTCAGTCGAGTCATGTGAACCCGGAGCCGCCATTAGTTTATTCCGAGTATAGCCTAAGGCAACAAAATGGGTGCCGCAGAAAGCCGGGTGTTTATTCAGAAATCTGCCAGTCTATAAGTAATTCCTGCCTTGGTTGATGTTTTAATATTCATGATAGCTTAAAATAATTCAAATTCCAAGTACAAATCAAGTACTCCGTACACCAAACACAACCAACTATATAGAGTTTCCTCGGGCCCAACCCGCTAGGCTCCCACGTTTTTACCTATGGTTAATTGATTGCCTTGAAACTAAAAAAAATCTATAAAACTACTCCGTAGGCAGCATTATGTTATACCCTTGATGTTGATTTATGCGTGGTGCAATCTGCTGCGCCACTGTTTAGAGTCGACCCACTTTGCATACCTTTTGTGATGTTTATCCATGCCTTTCTGCCCACCTAAACCGCTACCTGCTTTAGGTGTGCCACACATTCTTCGCGATTACATATTCTTCGTGATTTTTAATATTTTAACTTATTTTTATTATTATTATAATATAACATGCCTAAATCTCTAGATTTTAATAAATCTTGCTTGCTTGAAGCTATTACTATAGTTTAAAAGTAAAAAAAACTAAATATTACAAAGATTATACAAGAATTTAATATACTTAACTCTATACTCTAAATATACCTTAAAAAACTAAAGATACTAGTAATACTAATAATAATAAATAAGAATTTTTTATAGCTATATTAAAAGAAGGCCTTAATTAACTAGATTATATAAATATAGAAATAGAATATCTTACTAATTTCTATAATTATTATAGTATAAGTAAATTAGATACTTACTTACATAGGATTAGATAAGTAAGTTAATAAGATATAATTATATTAATTTAAATTATATATACTAGTAGATCTAGGACTTACTCTAATAAAGTAAAAAATTAAGGAATTAAGATAAATATAAGTAGAGAATACTAGCTTACTTTAATACTAGTATAATCTTTTAAAATTACTTCTTTGCAGGGTCCTGGCTTACCTTATTTATAACTTTAATAAATATAGTTTCTAACTAGGTAAAGATTATAATAAGAAGGTTTTTAAGGGTCTTAAATATCCTAATCTTATAGAAAATAAGTGTCACGGGGAGCAGGCGGGCAGTAGGTGTAGCTAACAGCAGGGTGTATATTCAGGCTATCTGCGTACAGGTATAACAGGTAGGGGTTAGGTTAGGATGAGGATATAACTTGAAGAGTTATAACAGGATTAGGGGTAATATGGCTTAAATATAGGAGTAGAGGTAGATAGTTAGGGTAGAATCTAATTAGATAGGTATATAGCTATATTATAATAGTATCCCCTTTCTTAAATTAAGCTCTAGTAAAGTATTCCTAGGGTCCAGGCTTTTTAGGATAGTAATAATAATAAGTAGTAATATATTTAATAGTATTCTCTAAGTAGCTAGCAGGAATTTTAGTAATAATAAAGTATCTAATTTACTTAATAATATACTTTAAATATAGATAGCTATCTTAGCTATAATAATTCTAGTAAGAGTTAATTACTTTCTTAACCTCTTATTTCTTGATATTATTAACTTTAATATATAGGGGTTTAGTTTCCTCTTATCTAGGTAGTAAGTTTTTAGTAGTCAGGTATAATAATTTAATATAAAATACTAGATATATTTTTATATTCTTAGGTAGGTCTAGTTTATAGGTATAAGGATTAATAACTCTTTTAATAAAGAAGGGGCCTAGATTTTTCTAGTCTAATTTTTTTTAGGGGTATAGAATTATAATATTCTTAATATTTAATTAAACTAATTAGCCCTTAATATAGTATCTAGTAAGGTAGTATTTCTAGTTAGTATAGTATTTATAGCAGGCTTAAGTAATAACTATAGTAGTATAGTAATATTCCTATATTTATTTTATAGTTAGAGTAAATTAGTAAGTATTATAAGTTTATAAATAATAATTAGGTAAGATAGGCTTAAATCTTATATAGAGATTAAAACTATATAAAGTAAAGAATAAGGAGTATCTAGTAGTCTTAGAATTAATATTATTAATAGTAAATTCTACTATAAGTAGCTATTTAGCCTAATTATTTTATAAATAATTAATATAAATTTATAAATATTATTCTAAAATAGTATTTATATATTTAGTTTACTTATTAGTTTTAGAGTAGTAAATAATAAATAAGAATAATCTTATTTTTAAAGTATAATTTAAGTATATCTAGAATACTAATATAAACTAGGATTTTTAGTTAGATATAATAAACTTAAAAAATCTATAAAATCTCTAAATATAATCTTAAAATAGGCAGGTAGCTTCCTTAGTATTATAGATATTATTATAGGGAATATAATATTAAAACTTTATTAATTAATTAATTACTACTATAATAGTATTAAAGCCTAAGCTTTAGAATAAATATATAATAAAATTAATAAATATATCTTTTTAGGAACTCTTAAATATAAGTAAGAAATAAAGTATTTCTTAATATTTATTTTAATAAGATATAAATTATTTATAAATATAGTAATTATAAATTTATTACTCTATAAATTATAGTATTTTAGGCTAGTAATATAATTATAATAATAATTTATAAATCTTTAATTTACTTTAATAATTAATAACTATATTCTTATAATATTTATATATTAATTCTATCTTTAATTTTTCTATATTAAGGATATATAGTTAGTTATAGTAAAATAAGAGTCTAGAATAGTAAGTATACTTAGATAATATAATTAATAAATAATAATTATAGCTCTTTTCCAGGCTTTCTAAAATATTATTAGGGGCTAGATCTTATTTATAATCCCTATCTAGGTACTCTCTTAATTATTTAGGGAGCTAGATAGTCTCTTTTTTTTTAAATTTAAGTAGCTAAAAATATACTAACTTCCTTCTAGTAGTAGCTTGGAGCTAGATTAATTATAGTATTTACTAGCTTTATAACTTTTCTAAATATTTAAGTAGGAAGCTTACTAAATTTTCTTTTTTTAATATTATTTAATTCTAGTATAGTAAATATTTATTCCCTTCCTTAGAAAGATCTTGTAATCTTTTAATTAAATTATTTAATTTTATTCTATACTTGCCCGGGTAATAGTTAATTATAAAGTTAAAGTAGGATAGAAATTTAGATTATTAGGCTTATTATTAATTTAATATTTTAATTATTATAAAATACTCTAGGTTTTTATAATTAGTTATAATCTTAATTAGATACTAGTATCTTTCTAGTTCTAGGATTTATTCTTTTAGATAATAAATAATTACTAGTAACTTCTTATTATATATTTTATAATTATACTTAGTTAGAATTATTTTCTTTAAATAGAATCCTACTAGGTATAGAATTCTATTATTATTATATTATAATAATACTCTAGTAGATATAAAATTTAAAGTATTAATTTCTAAAATAACTAGTTAATTCTAATTAAAGAACCTTAATATTAGTTCCTTAATAAATTCTACTTTTAGTATTTTAAAAGCAGTCTAATAGATTAAAGTTTATAAGAATAGGATTTTTTTCTTTTTTAAGGTAGTAATAGGTATAAGAATCTATAAGAATTCTTTAATAAAGTATTAGTAGAATCTAGTAAATCTTATAAAATTCTTAATATTAGTAATTATTTTAAATAGCTTTTAATTTATTATAGTCTTAATTTTCTTAAAATCTATATAAGTACCTTCTCTTCTAATAATAATATTTAGAAACTTAATTTCTAGCTAGTAAAATTTATATTTAAATATTTTTATATATAGGTTATTATTTCTTAGGATTTATAATATTTATTTTAAGTATTTAGTATATTTTTTTTTTATATAGCTATAAATTAGAATATTATCTAAGAATATATTATAGAATATATTTATATACTATTATAAGATATTATTTATAAAATATTAGAAGATAGCTAGGGTACTAGTTAGGCTAAATAGTATAATTAAGGATTTATATAATCTAAAATAAGTTTAAAAAGTAATTAAGTATTCTAATCCTTTCTTAATATAGATATTATTAAAGATAGCTATTAGATTAATCTTAAAGAAGTACTATATTTTCTATAAGTTATTTAGGGTTTCTTTAGTTAGGGGTAATAAGTAATAATTCTTAACTAATATAGTATTTAGTCCTTAATAATCTATATATAGGTAGAGGCTACCTCTAGATTTATTAATAAATAGAATAAAAAAAATAACTAGAGATAAGCTAGAATATATAAAACCTTTTTTTAAATTCTTTTCTAGCTATTCCTTTAGAGTAATTAATTATACTTGTAATATTAAGTATAATTTATTAAATAGAGGCTATTTTTCTTCTTAAATCTTAATATTATAATTATATAATTAGTATAATAATAACTTCTTTATTTCTTAAGGATTAAATATATCTTAAAAATCTTATAATTTTAAGGAAAGTATAAGTAATAATTTAGGACTAATATCTCTATATTTTAATTTTTTATTAACTTTATTTAATAAGATCTAGTATAGTTTCTATACTAGATAGCAAGTATATATAGCTAGTACTCTTAGGAATATTTAGTATATTTTTATAGATATAAGAGGTTTTAACTTTAGTAATTCTTTTTATTAATTTAGTTACTTAAATTAATTCTTCTAAAAAATATTTATCAGAGCTCTTACTTTTATAGGCTTAAAAAATATATTATAGTATTTATAGTAGTATTAGCTATTAAATATAGCTATTTAATTAGAAAAATATATCTTTAGATTATATATAGTAAGCTAGGCTAGTTCTAGGATAATTAGGTAGTAGGAGAGATAGGTAATATAGAAGATAGATTTCTAGTTATAATAATTATTTAATAATAAATTAGTCTCTATATAATATATTATTATATTTTCTTTTATTTTCTTATTATAGAAGCTAGATAGGGGTATTAAATAGGGAAGTAAAATAATCTTTAATTTATATATTTTTATTTATTAATAATCTATAAAGCTAACTTTTTTAGCTCTAGAATTAGTTATAGTATAAGTTAGTATTTTTAAATTTTTTTAGTATAGTTATACTTATTATATTATTAGGTTAGCACGCATATAATAGGGATTAGGGGAGTTAGTTAATTTAGTAATAATATAGGATAAATAAAGTAATATATCTAGTAGTAAGGGTTTTTACATGTATTCTAGTACTAGGTAGTAATTATAGCTAGGCAGACTCTATTTTTTAAGTTAGGCAGGATATTAAGGGAGTATAGTTAGTTAGGTTTCTTTAAAATAATAAAATAGTTATTCTAAATTATAGTATAGAAAGTAGGTAATACTATAGTAAAAATTAGGCTAGAATAATATGCTAGTATATTTATCTACTTTTAGATTTATATAAGATATTAGTTAAGTAAGGGATAGTTCTTTATATAATATATTTTATTTCTATAATAAAAATATTCCTTATACTTATATTATTCTCCCCTAGGAAAGTATAATATATAGTAGGTATAGGATAGGTCTATAGTATCTAAATCTTTTCTAGACATGGGAGGTGTAACTAGGTAACTAGATAGGATAGAATTAAGGAGATTCCTTAGTATTACTGGGCTAGGGTAGTAGGAACTAGATATTAGGTAAGAATAGGATACTTATAGCTAGTATTAGTAGTAGTAATTTTTTAATAACTAGAGATAATTAGTATATTCTTAGAAATCTTAAAATAAAGTAGGATTATAAAGTAATATATTTTAGAATTTGATTAAAATATTTTAGGTTAAGAAAGATATTAAAGAGTTATTAAGTATTTTTCCTTCTAGAATAAGATAATAGAACTCTATAAAGTAAGTACTAAAGTCTAAGTTTTTTTATTTTTAATTATAGAGATAGTTTTAAGTATTTTAAATTTAATTAGGGTCTTTAAATACTATTTCTAGATAGTTAAATAGGTTAGGATAGTTTAGAAACTAGAGAATATTAAGTCTTATTTTAAGTAAGATTAATTTATAAGTCTTTTTAGTTAGATATCCTATTATATAAGTTAGTTAGGCTTTAGTAGCTAGGAAATAATCTAGGTTAATATTTATTTTACTATAGATCTATTATATAAAGTAATAAAGGTTAGAATAAGTATTATTAAATTTTTATAAGTTAAGGAGTTTCTTACTAAGATAGGTATTAGGGAGAGGGCTAGTAAAAATAAATATAAATACTTTTATTATATTAGCTACTATAGCTTTAGTAAGGAGAGTATATTTAATAAGGATAGGGATAATAGTAAAAGTAAGTATAATAAAAATAATAATAACTTATAATATAATAAATATATACTTAAACTTAATTAATTTTTATTAAATTACTTTTAGTTCTTTTTTCTAATATAATATTATTTCCTCTTTCTTGGCTAGCTCTAGGCTAGCTTTATTAGCTTAGTTTTAAAGGGCATGAATCTTCTTTTTTAGGGAATTAATATATTTATTATAGGATCTAAGATAAATAATCTAAGTAATAGGGTTATTAATAATATAGCTTATAAATTTCTTAACTAAGTCTATAATTAGGGGTAATTCAGGTTATTTTAACATGCTAGTAATAATTATACCTAGGGTAGGAGCTATATAATATTATAAGGAGCAGGTAAGTAATAGGTATAACTAATAGTAGGGTATATATTCAGGCTATCTATATATAGGTATAATAGGTAGGGATCAGGTTAGGATAAGGACATAGCTCGAAGAGCTATAACAGGATTAGGGGCAATATGGCTTAAATACAGGAATAGAAGCAGATAGTTAGGGCAGAATCTAACCAGATAGGTACATGGCTACACTGTGACAATAAGTAAGGTAAAAATATTACTATAATTAAATATATTACTATAGATAGTTAGGTAATAGACCTATTTTTTATTTTTAAAATAATAAGTAACTATATAGAGATCTAGTATTATAATATAGAATAATTATTACTTAAAATAATAATAGTAATATCTTTAAATAATTAGATAATTAATAAGCTTATACTTGCCTAGCTATATTAATTTAATACTAAAATAAAGTATCCTAATTATATTAAATAAGGTAAGAAATAATATCTAATATTTAATAGCTATAGCTTATACCTTATACTTAAATTTCTATAATATTATAAGGAAAATAATATTATTCTCTTTAATTTTATAGCTTATTTAATATATTTCTATTAATCTCTTAATAAAAAACCTTTTCTTACTTATAAAATTAATTTTTACCTTAAGAATAATAAGCTATTTTAATAAAGGGATAAGTTATATAGAAAGGTAGAGTTCTTAAAGATTATTTAGCTAATCTATAACTAGATCTTTTACTAGTAAATTATTCAAGATACCTTTAAAAAATATAGTATCTAGCTAGTTAATAATACTAAAATTATTAAAAAACTAGTAAATTAGATAGATATACTAGATATATTAATTAATTTTTATTAAACTTTATTTTTACTACTATTACTATCTTCTAGTATTAAAAATAATTCTCTAGTAATAATAGAGGCTCTTTTAAAGAATTAGGCAAAGATTATAAAGGAACTTGATAAAGTATTTAATTAGGTAAGATAAAATATATTAAAACTCTTTTAATATTAGATAGAGAAGCTTAAGGAGCTAAAAATAATCTAGAAAGTAATTTAAAAGATTAGGGCTATATAAGAGTCTTAATACTAGGTTTATATTAAGTACTAGATTAAAAGTCTATCTAGTAATAGGGTTCTAAGAATTCATAATACTATTTAATTAATTAAAGATAGGAAGGCAAAGAATACTAAATATAAATAGAGGAGATTAGTAAAGTAAAAAAAAAAAGTATATAATTCTCTATCTCCTCTATACTCACAGGAGTTAATTTAAAAAGAAATTAATAATATAAGATATACTAAAGAAACTAGAGAGTTTTTTTATTTTAATTACTAGTATTATTATTATTATATAGCTTCAAATATTAAAAAATCGCGAAGAATGTGTGATTGCGAAGAATATATGGCGCACCTAAAGCGGGTAGCGGTTTAGGTGGGCAGAAAGGCATGAATATAACTTGAGCAAGATCTATTCTTTGCATTCAGGGTTTGAGGAATAAAAATTTACCTTTATAGAGTGAATCACAGCAGTAATGTCTAATCAATCTTGCTCTCCTCATGACTTTGCCCTTACCTATATCTCTAATGCCCGTTTTCACTGCCGCTTCACGCTACCTGCTACATCTAGTCGGGAATCTCTCACCGTCAGCTATGCCGATGTAGGGGTTGTGCCCAACCCCACAAACCCAACCCCCCCGACAATTTTGTTCATGCCAGGAATGTTTGGGTCTAGATTCCTCGGTGTTTTCATGCATACGGTTGCTGAAAAGCTGGGGGTGCGAGTGCTGGTAGTGGACCGGTAGGTGAATTCCAGGTTACCATGCTTGTTATGGTCAGCGAGCTTCTTCTAATGAGAATATTCAATCCATAGTCCTGGTATGGGCCATTCTACAGATGTCCCCCTTTCCCAACGAGTCGCTGTTTGGTTGGAATTGGTACCGCAGATTTTGACTCACCTTGGAATCGAGCATGTCGCCCTCGTGTCTCACAGTGCGGGAATGATGTACTTGCTGAATACCTTATTCTACTGTCGCAACATTCTTCACCCGGAACGACCGTTTGTTGCCTTCCTGGGTATCTATTCCCCCCTTCTATCCTTTGGTTAGAAAAACAATCACTCATATTTGATAGCACCTTGGGTGGACCCTTCCAATTCACACGTAACACAGATGCAAATGGCTCAGTATATACCGACAGCTGCCTTCAGTCTCTGGAATCGAGTTCCAAAGTTTTTTCTTCTCAAGGCTGGCCCGGTGTTTGCATCTAGCGGGGTTGTTGCGTCTACTGTCTCTACTGCAGTCTCATCGAGTACTGGCCATGGAGATGGCCAGGAGAACTCTGAACTCGAGAAGAATAGACAGAGGATAGAGAGAGACTATGGCATTTCTCGAGATGTTCAGGCCGAGCTGGACAATCTCGTGTTTAAATCCATGTTTGCAGAGAACACAATTGGAGCAAATAGTGAAGCCTTGCAGTGCTTACGCAAGGGTCCAGGCGGCGCTGCGTCGTGGGGGAAGGCTCAAGATTATCGGACGTTTGTGAAAGAATTCGTCGATCGCGAAAGGAAAGGGCGTTCGGAGGGACTGTCTCTAGGAGCGAGGTTACGCATACGAGCCTACTTTGGAGAGACGGATTCTATGATCGGGAAGCTGGGCCAGACCTACGTAGAGGAATGCTGGCAAGGGACGGAGAACGGCGCAGGATTTGAGGATGTGCTGGATTTTGATACCAGGACAATTCCCGGGACTGACCACAACAGTTTGGTACAATCTGTTGTGGCCCTAGAGAGTGTGATGATCCACGCTGGAGGATTACATGGGACTTTGACTGGGCCCTAAATCCTCGAGTGCTTACTCTGGGCCACGACGATGAGATAGTTGGGAAGGGTACGTGCCTTCACAATAATGAATAATTTAAAAGAATCTATTTGAGCAACCTCTGAGTTAGAAAAACTGTTATATCCCAGACCAGGTTCTGACAAAATATAAAACCATGCTAAATAGTCCAAGATTTGAAGCTGAGGATTTGGATGCGTTCTAGAGAGCCAGTCTTGGAGGAGCCACAGACAAAATCCATCCCCCTTAAAAAGTTTACGCAGACCAGCTCACGGGTCAACTTTTTTTTTTCCTTTGGCGTCTTTGGGATTTAATGAAGGCTGGGGCCCGCGTAAGCTAAAAGTTGTTCCAGACATGAAATTCTTACGCGGCCGGGAAAAAAGATCATTGCCCATTCAGTTCCTTGTACGACCATCCAAGACGCCAATCAAGCGGCGGGGTAAGCGAGATTTTAGTTCATCCTGGAATCCGCCCGTTTTACTGAGTACTGCTTCTAAGAAAAGCGGTTCAAGTGTCTGGGGGATGACGAGAACGGGGCGTTTTGGATGATGCATGATTGACCTCCCAGACGAGGCTGCCTCTCGCGCTGACGGTCTTGTACTTCAGGAATCCGCAAATCTGGCTCTAACACCAAGGCTTGCTCTGTATTTTATCTGGTTGGAGAAATGTGACCGCTAATATTCAATTAGGATGGCAATTACACGCTCATATAAGGTCTCAAGTCGTCGAGAAAATGTGGCAGAGACTATCTGTCAAAGCTATACACAATAATATCAAGGCTCCTAAGCAGCCATGACGGCACACTTCGTATAGCCATAAATGGTGAAAAAAGCCGAGCTGCAAATACCCCGGTTCGTCCAGGCGATTGGCTTGGTTGTATTTCTGCAGGTCCTGCGCCTCTGAATTAGCCATACTCTAAGCCTCAGCGCTTACATTTAGATATGCCAATTCCAGGCAAGCCCAGGTCTCGAATCTTTCTTCATGGCCTTTCGATCCCTATATTAATTTCAAACACAGAATCCAGGAATGAGTTACTGCCCAACAGAGGACGATGGCAGACTGTGAAGACGGCCTGCCTGCGCAGCTTCATCAGGAGTTTGTACCTCCCAAGTCCAGAGTATCTGAATCCTTCACCCGTTATCATGGCGAGGCTGCGGCTGAGTACGTTTACTGGAATGGAGTGACAACTTGAATGATATTTCATGAAAAGCTTACACTTTATACAGCATCGTTTTCGTGCATGGTTTAGGGTCCAGATATGAGACGACCTGGACCTACAAGCGCAAAGATGGAAGCAGGTTCAACTGGATACGGGAGAGATTGGCTAAGGACATGCCTGATGCCCGTATTCTTGGCTTCGAATATCCGTCTCGATGGTATAATGACCCAGTGCAGACTGACTTGACCGAGTGTGCTTCAGAATTACTTCGAAGTCTTATTCGCGATCGCTGCCATAACGGTTCCGGGGAAATGTGTCGGGCACGGGTAAGTAGCAGGACTGCCAACTTATCAAGTCCTTCCATAGACATGTTAGGGTTTATTGACTCGTTGATCGCAATAGAGGAAGCGGCCTATCATCTTCGTCGGGCATAGCTTCGGAGGACTGGTGGTTAAAAAGGTAGAGAGAGCATTCGGCTACATCTGTACAGGCAGTCAATTGCTAATCATGCTATGATAGGCCATGACCATGGCCAGCCAGGTGTTGAATACGAACGCCTCTCGTGAAGAATACAAGAATAATCGAGATCTGTTATCCGCCATGTCGGGCATTATCTTCCTGGGGACTCCCCACCGAGGGTCCGACTTTTCTGTCCTTGGACTTTGGAAGAACTTCTTTGGTTCTAGCATCCTCCGTGTCTCTTCCAACAATGAAATCATTACGATCCTACAGCCAGACTCGTATTCCCTGAGCGAACTACAACGCCAGTTCACCAGACTCTGCATCGATGAGCGTATGGCCGGACTTAAGCTAATTTGCTACTATGAGATGCGAGAAGTGCCAGTGCTCAAAAAACTGGTTGTGCCAAAGCACTCGGCCGTTTTGGATCATGCGGCTAGTCGCGGTATGAATGCCAATCATATGGATATGAATGGCTTTCCGGAAAAGGATGATGGTGAGAGGGAGGCCGATTATGGCCACTTCCTTGCGGACATACAGATGCTATTCAATTCCGCTAAAACGTCGGTACGCGATCGATTTAGCGCATGGCAGTACGGTTCAGCTATGCCAGACGCTGAGCGCGAACAGCTGCAGCGTTGGCTGGATCCATCACGGGAGGCACAGACAACGATCTACCACAAGCGAAGGGAGATTCAGCAATCGGCGACGTACACATGTACTTGGATTCAAAATGTCCCCGCCTTCCAGGAGTGGTTGGGCGACACAGAGAAGCGAGATGCACTTTGGATCACCGGCAAGGCGGGCTCAGGAAAAAGTATCCTTGCTGCATATATCATTGATTTGTTAAAGGACAGGTCTCCCACAGAGGATGAGGAGTCACTCCTCTGCCACACTCCATTGACTCAAGCGGAGTGCAGCTACAAGCAAAACAATACGCCTGTTTTGTTCTTCTTTGGCGGGGTGGATAGGAATAGGGAGACCGCTGAAAGGATGCTCGCTACCATGTTGCATCAACTTCTACTGGCGAGACCAGAGAGCCAAGAGGTATTCAACATAGCCAGGAAGCTATATCTCGACGCGCTCAATGGAAACGGAACCTCCCTAATGGCGATGGCAGAGTCCTTGCTCCACGTTATTTCGGTTGTTGGGCCTACCTAGTAAGTATTGCTCCAATGTGGAAACCACAAGAGAATTCATATTGAACGGGAATTTAGCATAATTGTCGACAACATCGAGGACATTGCCTCTCCTGGCATATTCCTAGAGAAGCTGGCAGTCCTGAGATCGGCTTCGGAGGCGAGATTCCTGATCCTTAGTCAAGAGACTCGTCAGGTTTCAGAGGCCCTTTCCTCCAATTTCAACATCACTGAGCCCCTTGTCATTACGGATTACTCGGCCGATGATATCACTGAATTTATTTCGGTGAAAAGCGCGTTCTTGTTCGAGAAAAAACCCAGGCTGCTGGTCAAAGAGGAGACCATCGTGAAGTCGCTTCATGATGGTGCTCATGGCATGTTCCAGTGGGTGAATTCGGCCTTTGAACACCTCAAATACGTCGAGGATCCTCGCGATATCGAGCAAAGCTTGAATGGTATCCATAAAGATCTCATCGACACCTATGACAAGATCTTTGAGCGACTTGGACAGGATCGGGCTGAGTTTGAAATCCGCAGAATCCGCGTCTTCCTTCAGTTTCTGGCTGTGTCGGCCACACCCGTGTCGTCAGCCGACGTAAAGATTGCGGGACTGGCTGCGGAATGCCTTTACCAGGAAGCAGTAGAAGGAGGGTCGAAAAAGGAATGTGCCCGGAGGACTGAAGAGTCACTAAAGACGTTGCTGGATTATCAACAGTGCTCCGATTCGTGGGACGTGGCAGAAAGCGACATGCGAGCATGCCTGGGCTCAGTTGTAGACATCTGTTCAGATGGGACGCTGCAATTCAAACACCCATCCATTCTTCGAGCACTCACTCGAATAGATCCTGCTACATCTGGCAGCCCGGAATCGTCCATTTTCAAGTTTTCCTTGGAGGAAGCGCATTTGACGATCGCGCGGATCTGTATGACGGTGTGCCGGTCATCTACATTCATCCACTCGAACGTTTTTGTTTCTACCCCGGTGCCTATGGTGGCTTATGCCTGGAACTATTGGGCTTACCACTTTAAGAAGTCGAAATGTGTTTTGCTTACTGAAGCCCAGGGTGTTCAACTTTGGAGCCTGGTGCAGAGTAACCCTGCTGTCTTGCAGGGAGTATGGGAGGCGCAGCAAGCACTACAAGAGATTTTCAACAGAATGGTGGATGGTGTCTCGCGCGATGCCCTTCTCTACCTGGAAGCTCTAATTGACTTTATTAGTAGGCCTCTTAGGGCTGTCCCTGGTCGTTTTTCGGACCGGGAGTACGTCCTGTGTTTACAGAGAGCTCAGGAATCGTTGTTACGCCCCACACAAGATTTATGCTCTCTGAGGAAGGCGCCTTACGATTCATTTGCATATAATCTGTCTGGTGATCGGGCACTCGTTACTGGGGCCCTTGCTAAGGAGACTCCTGACCCTCTCGCAGCGACAAACCTCCGCCACAAGGCCGTTGACGCAGCAACTCAAGCAAAATCGAAGCTGCTTGGACCATCCTCCTCTGTATTCCGACTACATCTTGACGATTACCTTCAGTCTAACCAAGGGGTTCCGCGGCCATCTGGCCCAAGCCGCCTCCTCCTTGATGTTGCGCGTGATCTACGGCGTGTAGCCCTTCGATTTGCTGTCGATCCAATCTATAGCGCTCTGTTGGCGACTGCAAGTGGATCGTCATTCTCCCCGCTTCATCCGCTAGTGCACGTTGCACAACTACTGGAAGAGTGCGGGCAATACCCATACTGGGAGCCCCTGCCCATAGCTACGGATCATATGGGGTACTTCATTTGTCCTGCAGATGACCTCGAATATGCCCCAGCCAAATTTGTCCTGCATTGCTTCGAGTGGCGCTCTGCAAAGCGAGACGGGAGTGAAATGACACCTATACAACCCACAACCCACAAATTAAAGGCCCGGCCCAGCCCCTCTGGCCATCGTTTGGTCAGAGTGTCGACCGAGAATCGGGAACAAGTCCGACGTCTACACCAGATCACAGCAGACAAATATTTTGCCGCGCAACTTTCATACGCAGTATTCCAAGCGGACGAGAAGAACGGGTGGATCAACTATTTAATTACCAACCCACTGAGAAATATGCATATGAAAACCAGCCTTCTTATCACTGAAATCAGAGACTCGCAGATGTCAAATGACCCGGCTTCAATTCTAAACCACTATGCTCCAACAGAGGTACACGAAACCCAGATGGGGGCTTTTCTACGCTCTGTTCCACGTCTCTTGCCTGTCTACTTTGTACATTATGTTGTGCTTCTTCTGGAAGCCTTCGGACGTGTAGCTCGTCAGACACTGTCGGCGCACTTTACAAAGATCCAGATTGCCTACGTTGAATTACAACAGGTTACCGGATTCTTATGGCGAGCATTCACGCCTGGCAACTTACCCCCCTTAAAGTCGAAGTATTTTGCGGCTGCTGTGGCTTTATTCCTACTACGCTGCAGGTACTTTCATTCTTGGGGGTCATACTTCTGGTTTCATCCATGGACCCAGTTCAGTTATGCGTATAAACACCCTGCAGTATATTTGGACATGCAGAACGAATTCCACTTTTGGCGATGCTGCTGGAGGCTTGTGCTGTATTTTGTCACTTCTTTGAGTGGCACCACATCAATGGGGTTCACCATGATGCCGGATCTCAACGACACTCCTACTGGGCACATAAGCATGGTCTACGCCATCTTCCACAGTTTCTGCACCATTGAGCGAAGTTTATTCGCTTTTACAGCTGTCGTTGCCACGCTAATTGCATCTGCTAGTGTTATGCTTTATGATCTCGAGACCTTAATCCAGATTTACTCGTTCAGCCTTGCCTTCTGGCTCAACTTGGGCTTTGAGATCTCTCTAGGCGGGATGCAGATTGCCCTGCCCGCGAGGTTGCAGGGCTGGACTGGCATCCTCATGACCCTTGCAATACGTGTCGCTGTCTACTACTTGGTCGTGAGGTATTTTGTCACGGTATCCCGTTTTTTCACCTTCGTGTCAAGACCCTTTTGGTTAGTTATGCTTGCGTTCTGGAAATACTTCCTGAACAACTCAATCGCCCTCGCTAAGGGCATTGGAACTTTATGCATACTACTCATGGCTTACAAAGCGTTTTGGACCATGCATAAGTTCATCTGGGACCCCTATGGCATTGAGGACAGTTTGAAAGCCCTTCTCAGTGCATCGCATAATGCCAGGGCCACCCTGGACGCGGGACAGGCCGGCAATCTCCGGCGAATAGGCTGGTACCCACTTGGAATCAGAGTCGCAGAACCCACAGAGAACATAGAACAACAGGCAATCACTGAAAGAGGCCAGCCTTATGCCAATGTTCCACTGAGACAAGCGGTCAGTGGGCTTCAAGAGTCAGTTGCTGGCGGAGTGGAGCAAGTCGCGGGAGAGACAAAGCAGTATTTCGAAGACGGCGCCTGGCAGCGGGACAAGGAGCGGCTAGGGGAGTATATGGACAAGACAGCGTTGGAAACCGGAGAACAACTTAACAAGGTAGTTGACGGCGTAGCTTTCTCGGTCGGTGGGCTGTTTGCAGAGAAGCCGAAGAAGCAGTTGCTGGTGCCGCCACCGAGGGCCGGCAAAGGTGGGGAGAAGGAAGATTAGCGGCGAAGTGAGAGGATTGAGTTAGATTATGGGAATCCGATATGTAGACGAACTGATAGTTACTCTATACTTACTATTGACTAATATGAATTTCGGTTTCCTCAAATAGTAGCAGAACTCAGCCGCCATCTACCCATAAACAAGCACGGGGTTGTTGGATAATCATGTAAATCCTCTGCTAGGTTCTCTACTGCTGCTTCTTCTGAATAGACAGAAACGTATCATGCTTCCCTCCGTGTCCTTGTACTCGAATTTCATATTCGCCGTCACACAAATCCTTCATTGTCAACTCAGTGGTCCTTCCAAGACTCTCCAGCTCATCTAGTCGATCGAGTGTGGCCTTCAAATGCTCTGCAAATCCTGGCTCACTACAAACCGCTTTGAAGGCGTTTTGCATCGGCACAGAGTCTGCTCGAACCACTGCATCGGCATCTATCGCAATAATGTTCATTTGGTCTAGTTTGCGAATGAAGTCTGCTCGCGTCATCAATTCCTGGGCCTTGTGCAAGGGAATCCCCGGCAGCCCAGGAATACTCGGCTTTTCCGAAGGGTTGTTTCCTATCTCCACCAAGGCCTGGGCCAGCAACATGGCGGCAGCCTACGCCGTTGTCAGCGAGCTCGAGTTACATTCAAGGGTTGGCAAGGGGTGAAATACGCAATAATCTTGCTGATCCTCCGCTTTATCATCCATTTCCCCTCCGAGAATCCAGCATTTGCAGAGGAGCCATCGCTTCTCTTTCTCACAGATGGATTGACCGGTTTTGAGCATGTCCTTTGTCCTTGCAACCTGGTCTAGGAAGATTAAACGCCCTCCCACTAAGTTATAGACTTGATCTAAGGTACTGCTTGGGGAGCGCTCGCCAAATGCTCTCTCGCGGAAGGCCTTTAAGGACTGTATTGCCATGTCTTTGGGAATATCCTGGATATTCATAACCTGCAGCCGCGTAGCATGTAAGCGAAGCATTTCGGTGTTACGATATTGGTCGCTAGTAAAGACAAGCGTAACCAGTCCGCTCGCAGCCCATAGTTCAGCGCGCTGTTGCAACAGATCCAACAAATGTTGTCCCTCCGTGTTGTCCGGAAGATAGTGGATGTTGTTGATAATTAAAACCAACGGCCTGTCCCGGATACTCTTTCGCGTGAGGGCAACTTTCTCAAGCTTGTTTAGCGCACGCTCAATATCAAGCAAGGGCGTTGCATCGCGTGGTCCTCGGATGCTAAACATCCCGCCAATATAGTCTTCATGGTATTCATAGTCCAACGCTTTCCCCAGCCGAAGGCGGAAGACTTCCACGTCTCCATGAGCTTCCAGCATGGCAACACCATCTCCCTGTACTTTCTGCATCGACTCCAATAACATCGACGTTTTACCGGTACCCTTTTCACCGAAGAGTAGATAGTAGTTGCCTCTCGCGTTACCCCTGATAATAGCATCAATCGTCGCCTGTTCCGGTCTCACAATGCGGAATTTTTGTTCGTCATTTGCGGGCTCATTGCTTCGATCTCGAGAGTACCCGTGCTGTGCGAGAGCTGCCAGCTCAAGAGTGGAGAATCCGGCGGAGAAAGCATTGTCAATCTTCCGTAGCACCAAGCGTTTGTAGAAGACATGGTATGAATAGCCCCCGACACCAACCATAAGTAGAGCTGCTATTGTGGTGGCACCATTTTCGAGGAATTTTCGGAGAATGCTATCACCGTTATTTTGGTGCCCTCGGCCCCTGTCCCCTCGGGAATGGGCCCGCCATTCTGCGCTGCTCTCCGTCCTGGAGGGGCGAAACCAGGATCCTGTGGTTTGAGGGTCAATTCTATTATTTCGGGGAAGATACTTTGAGAGAACTTGCCGTATTTTGGGGTGCGAATTATCCGGGGCATATTGCCTGTATGTACAGCCCCCAGCTTCAGACGAGGAAATTCTATCCGATTTCTACAACCCTCCCACCTTCTGCCGGCATTCGGAGAGAAAATAAGTCCAGGTCGATTAGAAGCGGATTTGGACAAAAATGTCGTTGTCTCTTCCTTAGCCAATATTTCCTGCGGGGGGCCTAAAGGGGAACCAATAAGAGCTTTAAAACCAGCTTCATTTACATATTGGAAGTCCCCGCTCGGCGATAAGCTAGAAACAAATTCCGAATCTGCAGAGCTTCCGAAAAGCCAGAGGATGAGTAGCAGGGTGTCAATACTCGTGCTCTTGCGCGCTTCGGGCTCACATTGCTTGTATGGGGTGGCCAAGTTCACTCTGTTGGGAAAGCCACAATGCATCGTTGGCTTCGTGAGGTTCTAGTGTATGGTGAATGTCCTTTCAGTGCCTAAGAGACTCTACTTATCAACTCGTTTTCCTTGCAAATGGGACTTTTCATGTCCCTCCAGTATATATATACACAGAGATACGGACGAACCCCTTCTGCTACTAGGGGGTAGAAATTCCTCCGTTTCCACACAGGGAAAATACCCAAACGCAAGAAGCAAGCCAGTTCAATATACACTCTAAGGCTGAACCGGGGCCACGGCAACACCGACTGATGAATCGTCAATGCCAAAATACAAAAACCACTGCCCATGGAACTGAACCAGGCCTTCGGAGAAAACAACCCGGTGGCCAGTTTCAGGCTCCAGCATCGGAAGTTCCAGACGAGCAATTGGCGGTCCAAGAGGAAAGTTCCCCGGATCGATCAGCATTTGGCCAGTGTTATACTGCATTGAAGCGAAACCGCCCACCCCGGTAGATACCCCGTTATACACCTTTAGCCATCTTCCATCTCGCGTCTTGATTGGGGGTGGGCCGGACTCCATCAGGCCTTGCTCCCAGATGTTAAGCTTTGGGGCATAGGGAGCGGGCTGGTCTGCAATGCGCAGCAGTCCTGCAAGGGTATCATCGCTCGTTGATACATGCCAGTGAATCAAATCGGTCGAGTACGCCGTGTATAAATAAGACTCCCCGAAATGCATGTAGTACCGACCATCTAGTTGACGCTCGTTGAGGATCGCTCCGGATTTGCTCCAGCCGTGCCGGGAGAGGTAGCCGTTAAACGGACGCAGAAAGTCATATACAACATCCGAGATATCAGGAAGGATTGGACCATGCTTTTTCCAATCGACCAGGTTCGTTGAAGTTGCAAGACAAAGACGAGCCAGGGAGTTCTCAACCCCGGTGTATGTTAGGTAGAAGGTTCCATTGACTCGCACAACGCGAGGATCCTCACATCCACCAGATGTTTCGTAGGACTCGGTAGCTTCTAGTATTGGCGTTGCAGAGCGCGTGAAATGAATCCCATCCGAAGACCAGGCTATCCCGATTGATGATCTGCCCGTTATATCCTGCGCCCGGTAGAGGAGCCAAACCCGGTTATCGACGACAATTGCACTAGGGTTGAAAACCGCGCGCGATTCCCACGCATGAGAGGTGTCGGCTGTCAAAATAGGGTTGGCTGCATATTTCTCAAATCCCAGAAGAGGGAAATAAGGTGCACTATAATTCGCCTCATTATCGGTAGATTGTGGTGTGATGACCGGAATGCCATTCGAGTCGCGGGGTACAGAGGCCCCCAAAATAGAGGAAGGCGAGGCCAGTGCTAGTAGCAGCAGCAGCGACAATTTCATGGCTAATGTGGTGATTCCACGAGTGCATATTTTATGGCCATCCTTCGATAGGTTCTCCACACTATTATTTATAGCCAGAGTCCCCGCCTCGGAATGTTGTTAAGCCTCAACACAGATACCGACACATAAGCTGCGGGAAGCCAATTGACCTCGTCAGACCTCTACGCCTCTGTATCCACCTACCCAGGGTGGATCACACAATTGGCGACAGGGATAAGCACCAGCCAGAAAAAGAGCCCGAGGCGGGGTACGGCGGGGAGGCTGTAGATTGGCCATCACGAAAGACCAAGAATGGGCACGCAGAGATCTGCATCTCAGGGCCTGCAACTCACAAGCTGATGTGTACCGGAGTACACGACCCCTTTTGCTAGGATAAACCTAGAAGCACCTAGCTTACGGGCTAGGTTGGAATACCTAACCTCGTGTGCTAATAGTCATAGAAAAGTATCCTTCCGACTAAACGGGACTGTGAAAGGTTTACCGAATTAGCCATATACTTAGACCCTAAAGCATTATTCGAGTAGCTATACAAGTGGACATTTCATACGCATGTACCTAATCTGTTTCGTATTGGAATTAGCGGAGGTCACTACTCATAGCAGAGAATTGGAATAGGATTCTTATGTTTTCAAGCCCGGCGTCCACAAGACGATGCCCTTCGTTACATATCAAGGAGCCCTTCGATACTCTTTATACTCAGGTGTGTGCGAGGCTCGACTATCGATGAGTGGCGCCGGTCATGTTTTGAAGGAATCCGCGCCAGTAAAGCTTGACTCCAAACCCGTTGTGTCAGAAAAGAGCCAGCTGCCCGGCATTCCTCTTGTATAGATTTTATTTGTGTTCTATAGACTCTGAAATTGGGGGTATGTGTATTATAACAAGACAACGAATATGAAGCGAACGGCAACGTATAGTTCTTTCTCCGTTCTCCTCTCTCAATGCTCAACCTACTCTATGATATACAGGTCTATATAGATAGCAATTCTCTTCATGAACTCCACTGCCTTACTCACTTGAACGTAACGAGCGGAGGAGTGCATAGCATCACCATCTCTATAGGCTTGGCAAGATTATGACTGGCTTAGAAGAACAGGAAGCTGGATCGGCGGTTAGCCTTCGACGCGGAAGGAGCCGGAGTAATACTGATCGAGGCAGAGCTGCTTGAGGTGTTTTCTGACGAATGTTGCGCGGAAGTTGACGATACTGTTGTCGAGGTTTCGGATGTTGACGTAACGGAAGTAATAACGTGAGAATCGGTTGAAGAAGTGGTAGTCGAGGGGTCTGTGAATCTTGTAGAAGTTGAACTGGAAGTAGTCGAGGCGATGGCCGATGAGCTGGACTCCGGCTTTTCGTAATCACCAATTGCATACACAGACCACCTAGCATTACCGCCACCTATAGTTCAAATTCGTTAACGTATAAGTATATCCTGAGACCGCAAAGCTTCAACCACTAACACATCACTTTAGGCCATCCTGCGCAAGGGTAATTGCAGTTATCATCCGAAACAATGTCCGTTTCTGCCGGTGCAGAATCACCACACAAACAAGAGTCTCCACGAAGTGCAGCAAAAGCTACGTCTGTTTTCGCGCAGAGGTCTGTACAATAGGACACGGACTGGAATTGGAATGATCCTTGGTCTTTCATGCCATTAAGGTCCGTGTAGCAGCCAAGATAGGTTGTTATTTGAGAGCTAGCAGAAACTGGGAGCGAAAGGGAGAGAATAGCTGCTGCGAAGAGTGAAACGAGCGATTGAAACTTCATTTTGGAAGATTAAGGGCTTTTTATGCGCGAAAGAATCGAAATGCAAAAACCGAATGATAAACAAGCGTAGCATTTAGGACGGTAGCGGCGCTTTTAAAAGGAAAATACGGACTCTAGAGTTTAGACTGACTCGAAAGGAGCCTCCAATTTATGCTGCTTCACCCCACCCAGAGAACGGGTTCGCGATGTGAGTGGTTTGAATTAATATGAAATATCCACTTGGTCAAGTCACTAACAGCAGGTAAGATGAATCATTGGAGCCAATTGACCCCTAAATCCTTAAAATAGTCCTGTTTCAATCCTATGGGACTGACTGCCTGCCGGCGAGCTATGCCCTGAAGCCGAAAATTGGAAAACCGTCATCTATTAACCTGAACTGTAGAAAAGCACTTGGTATCATTTATTCGCGATTCCAATAATTCCTCCGAACCTTCAACTGTATGTAGAGCCAGAAAATAAAATTATACTCCTATCTCAAGGGTTCCCTTGTAGTTGCAGTCAATGAGGACGTGAGGCTCGGGGTTATCAACGCAAATCCATTTCGTGCCAGGGGCTCCTCCGTTGGCGTTGGAGCTCAGCAGTATTCGACCCTCTTCAGCGATGGGCCCGGAAACTCTCTCCAGCTCCAGTGTGAAAAGATTAAAGTCGGGAGGGCCCATAGGGAATCTGATATAGTACTCTCCATTGTTACAGCGAGCGTCAAGTTTAGGGTTCTGGCCATAAGTCCTAACGAACCAGTCAGCAAGTCGTTTATTTTAGTTTCAGATTGAAGAACTCGCCAGATCAAGTTGCATTCAGTAGGTGTGTCATCAGGATAGTTCGGGTCGGTGACCACAAAGTGCATAGTAGCTGATAAAGATGCTCGGGCGTGAAGTTCGGTAATTTGGAGAAAGTTATCACGTTTAGTATTAACTGGAGTGGCCAGGGTGTAAGCGGCCGCTAGAAGAATAGAGACAATCGTGAACTTCATTTTGATTGTCTATCGGCTATATAAAAGCCCTGTAGGAAGGAAAATAGTATCAAATCTAGGAAGCTATACTTGTGATGAAGCTGGTGACGGTGCTGCTTGTTGCAGATATAATTGTTTGGGGTGGACGATGTATTTATATATTCCCCCATATTCCTCAGCTGTCTATAATACTGCTGCATTGTATAACCTATCCACAGTTATAGGAAATCATGAAATGTTACCTGACGCCGAATTATTCTCAATGAGACATGTTGGACTTGATGTGACAAATCATGAGCCCGAGTATAGGTAAGCTACAGGGAGGCAGTGAACTCACTCCTTCACAAAAGAGGCCTTGTTTTAGTCAATATCTTACTCTAGATATCTATTTTGAGCTCTGGATATGTTTACCCTTACATTTTAGGCCCCCAATGCGCTCGAAGTCTACAGAAATAGCGCTGACATTTTGGAGATCCTTGCTTGAACGAGTGACTTGTCTGCGCCAACACGCATATTGAAGGACTGAATATCATATTATGATGAAGGTCGTCAAACTATGATGGTAGAAAGTTGACCGAAATGAATTCAATTGGGTCTAACTAGGAAATAGAGAGAAGGAGAGATACTTGGAGGAAGTATAGAGATCTAGAAGAAAATAGTAGTTTAAATATATAAAGTAGTTATATATTATTATCTTCTTCTTTATAGTAATACTAGTTATATTTATTAAGTATAGTACTTTAATATACTCTTCTTAGTAATATATCTATTATATAAAGCTATTTAGAGTCTATCTTTAACTTACTAAAATCTAATCTTTTAATAAATTTATTAAATTTTATAATTAATAATACCTTAATTAGCTTATTAATAATATTATCCTTTCTATTAATTATTTATAATTAAATTCTACTATTTTTAATTATTTCTTTAATAAAGAAGTAGTAAATATCTATTTAATAAAATATAGATATATAGTTTAGCTTCTTTATTAAAATAATAATATTAGTAGAATTAATATATAAAGGTATAGTATTTTTTATAAATTTTTCTAATTTAATAACTATATATAGCTTTTATAGCTATATAGCTAGTTTTATTATTATATCTTATATAATAAATTCTATAATAATTAAACTTAAGATAACTAATAATTACTTTACTAATCTCTATATAATTAGTACTCTAAATATAAAAAATATAAAGTTTTTTATTAATTTCTTATTTTTATAATCTATATAAAAGATATTAATATATATATATAATAAATTATTTAAATAATTTAAAATTATTATATAATTTAAAATCTTCTTTAAATATTAAAAAACTTATTTAATTATATTATAATTTAACTTACTAGAATTATAATTTCTTTATAATAATTATATTATTATATATTGTCATGGGGAGCAGGCGGGCAGTAGGTGTAGCTAACAGCAGGGTGTATATTCAGGCTATCTGTGTATAGGTATAATAGGTAGGGGTTAGGTCAGGACAAGGACATAGCTTGAAGAGCTATAATAGGATTAGGGGCAATATAGCTTAAATATAGGAGTAAAGATAGATAATTAGGGTAGAATCTAACTAGATAGGTATATAACTATACTATAATAGTATCTTCTCTCTTAGGCTAAGCTCTAGTAAAGTATTCCTAAGGTCCAGGCTTTCTAGAGTAGTAATAATAATAAGTAGTAATATATTTAGTAGTATTCTCTAGATAGCTAGCAGGAACTTTAATAATAGTAGAATATTTAACCTATTTAATAATATACTTTAAATATAAGTAGCTACCTTAACTATAGTAGTCCTAGTAGGAATTAACTATTTCTTTAACTTCCTATTCTTTAATACTATTAACTTTAATATATAGAGGTTTAGTTTCCTCTTATCTAGATAGTAAATCTTTAATAATTAGGTATAATAATTTAATATAAAATACTAGATATATTTTTATACTCTTAAGTAGGTCTAGTTTATAAGTATAAGAATTAATAACTCTTTTAATAAGAAAGGGGCTTAGATTTTTCTAGTCTAATTTTTTTTAGGAGTATAAGATTATAATATTCTTAATATTTAACTAGACTAATTAGCCCTTAATATAGTATCTAGCAGGGTAGTATTTCTAGTTAATATAATATTTATAGCAGGCTTAAGTAATAACTATAGTAGTATAGTAATATTCCTATATCTACTTTATAATTAAGATAAATTAGTAAGTATTATAAGTTTATAAGTAATAATTAAGTAGGATAGGCTTAAATTCTATATAAGGATTAAAATTATATAGAGTAAAGAATAGAGAATATCTAGTAATCTTAAAATTAATATTATTAGTAATAAATTCTATTATAAGTAGCTATTTAGCCTAATTATCTTATAAGTAATTAATATAGACTTATAAATATTATTCTAAAATAGTATTTATATATTTAATTTACCTATTAATCTTAAGGTAGTAAATAATAAATAGAAGTAATCTTATCTTTAGAATATAATTTAAATATATCTAGAATATTAATATAAATTAAGATTCTTAATTAAATATAATAGACTTAAAAAATTTATAAAATTTTTAAATATAGTTTTAGAATAAGTAGGCAGCTCTCTTAATATTATAAGTATTATTATAGGGAATATAGTATTAAAACTTTATTAACTAGTTAATTACTATTATAATAATATTAAAGCCTAAGCTTTAGAGTAGATATATAATAAAATTAATAGATATATCTTTCTAGAAATTTTTAAATATAAATAAGAAATAAAGTATTTTTTAATACTTATCTTAATAAAATATAGATTATTTATAAATATAATAGTTATAAACTTATTACTCTATAAACTATAATATTCTAGACTAGTAATATAATTATAATAATAATTTATAGGTTTTTAATTTACCTTAATAGCTAGTAATTATACTTTTATAATATTTATATATTAGTTCTATCTTTAATTCTTCTATATTAGAGATATATAGTTAGTTATAATAAAATAAGAGTTTAAAATAATAAATATACTTAAATAATATAATTAATAGATAATAATTATAGCCCTTTTCTAGACTTTCTAGAATATTATTAGGGGCTAGATCTTATTTATAACCCTTATTTAGGTACTCTCTTAATTATTTAAGGAGCTAGATAGTCTCTTCTTCTTTAGATTTAGATAGCTAGAAGTATACTAACTTCCTTCTAGTAGTAATTTAGAGCTAGATTAATTATAGTATTTACTAGCTCTATAACTTTTCTAAGTATTTAAATAGGAAGCTTGCTAAGTTTTCTCTTTTTAATATTATTTAATTCTAGTATAATAAGTATTTATTCTCCTTCTTAGGAAGATCTTATAATCTCTTAATTAAATTATCTAGTTTTATCCTATATTTACCCGGGTAATAGTTAATTATAAAATTAAAGTAGGATAGGAATTTAGATTATTAGGCTTATTATTAATTTAGTATCTTAATTATTATAAAATATTCTAGATTTCTATAATTAATTATAATCTTAATTAAATACTAGTATCCTTCTAGTTCTAGGATCTATTTTTCTAAATAATAAATAATTACTAGTAACTCCTTATTATATATCTTATAATTATACTTAATTAGAGTTATTTTCTTTAAGTAAAATCTTACTAGATATAGAATTTTATTATTATTATATTATAATAATATTCTAGTAGATATAAAGTCTAAGATATTAGTTTTTAAAATAGCTAATTAGTCCTAATTAAAGGATCTTAATATTAGTTTCTTAATAAATTTTACTTTTAATATTTTAAAAGTAGTCTAGTAAGTTAGAATCTATAAGAATAGGGTTTCTTTCTTTTCTAAGGTAGTAATAGGTACAAGGATTTACAAGAATCCTTTAATAAAGTATTAGTAGAATCTAGTAAATCTTATAAAATTCTTAATATTAGTAATTATTTTAGATAGCTTCTAATCTATTATAGTCTTAATTTTCTTAAGATCTATATAGGTACCTTCTCTTCTAATAATAATATTTAGGAACTTAATTTCTAGCTAGTAAAATTTATACTTAGATATCTTTATATATAAATTATTATTTCTTAAAATTTATAATATTTACCTTAAATATTTAGTATATTTTTTTCTTATATAGTTATAAATTAGAATATTATTTAAAAATATATTATAGAATATATTTATATATTATTATAGGATATTATTTATAAAATATTAGAAAATAATTAGGGTATTAGTTAGGCTAAATAGTATAATTAGGGACTTATATAATCTAAAATAGGTTTAAAAAGTAGTTAGGTACTCTAACCTCTTCTTAATATAGATATTATTAAAAGTAGCTACTAAATTAATCTTAAAGAAGTACTATATTTCCTGTAGGTTATTTAAGGTTTCTTTAGTTAGGGGTAATAAGTAGTAGTTCTTAACTAATATAATATTTAGTCTTTAATAATCTATATATAAGTAGAGGCTACCTCTAGATTTATTAATAAATAGAATAGAAAAAGTAGCTAGAAATAAGTTAGAATATATAAAATCTTTCTTTAGATTCTTTTCTAGCTATTTTTTTAGAGTAATTAATTATACTTATAATATTAGGTATAATTTATTAAATAGGGGCTATTTTCCTTCTTAAATCTTAATATTATAGTTATATAATTAGTATAGTAGTAGCTTCTCTACTTCTTAGAGATTAAATATATCTTGAAAATCTTATAATTTTAAAAGAAATATAGGTAGTAATTTAAGACTAGTATCTTTATACTTTAGTTTTTTATTAATTTTATCTAATAAGATCTAGTATAGTTTCTATACTAGATAGTAGGTATATATAGCTAGTATTCTTAAGGATATTTAATATATTTTTATAGGTATAGAAGGTTTTAACTCTAGTAATTTTTTTTATTAATTTAGTTACTTAAGTTAATCTTTCTAGAGAATATTTATTAGGGTCCTTATTTTTATAGACTTGAGAGATATATTATAATATTTATAGTAATATTAGCTATTAAATATAGCTATTTAATTAGAGAAA